CTCTCCAGCCCCTGGGTATTCTTTGTAGAACTTTCTTTCTAGAACAAATACACTTGAAACAAATCCCCATTCACATTTTTTCACATTCATTCACATTTTTCAATTGGCAAAGATTCAGCCAGTTAACAGGTTTTTAACAGTAAAGGATCAACAGCTAGGCTTCCTTGGCCATCAATGCACTTAGCCACGTACTTCTCCATCCATCCCAGCAGCAATTTAAAGGCTAGGTGTGATCCCAAAATCACATAGCACAACGGTAAGAAGTGGCTTTCACTTTGAGCCCCATCTAGCTCCACACCCAGTTTTTTTCAAGCCCCTATGTTCCACTTCGGACCAAAGATGTCCCCCAAGCAAATATTCCTTGGTTTTAGAGTTGGCCTTTGCTGAGTCATGGTTGAGTCATCATATCCTCTTGTCCTGTATAGTGAGAAGTCCACAGGTCACCAATGACTATCCATGCTAGAATACTTCTTTCTCTTGCTCTATGCCTTGTCTAGAGGCTGGGCAACAGACAGAACTCCCCAGGGCTCACACAATCTGGGGGTAAAGAATAGGAGAATCAGAGGGCTCAGGAAAGCCAGCAGTATGATGGCACCAAAGGAATCCATTGTTTCAAGACCATATTGCCTTTGTCTGTCCCTGATAGATGCTGGCGGAATACCCCACAGAGCTAGACAAGCTTCAGCACCTGGTGTCCAACTACTGCTTGGAGCTGTCAGATATGACAGTCATGTCCCAAGATGCCATGATGATTACTGATGAGGTCAAGGTGAGTCCCAGGATCGGGTGACTATCAACAGCTGGATCACCTGATCCTGTCTTGTTCAGGACCTATTGGACATCCCATGCCAATACTGGAGAACTCCATTGTCAGCCCTACCAGCTGATCTGCTCACCTATGGGTTAGAGAAAGTCTATTTGGGCACTGAGGCCATGAATAGATGTGGCCAGGACCATGGGTATCTATTGACCTTGTCAGTCCCAAGATCCCTTAGTGGGGCAGCAAGACTCATCCTCCTGAAGTGGATAACTAATCTAGTAGCCCACCACATCGTATGTAGGACCAGTATGGCAGACAAGAGGCAAAGGGTTTCAAGGTCTCTAGGGTGGTTTTTCAAGGAAATATACTTGAATGGGCTCTGAAGAACCAGCAAAATCAAGGATAATCAGAGCTCAGAAAAGCCAAGGCTGTTGCCACATGTTGGTGTACAGAAATCTACATAGCTTTCCTGTGCAAGTCATGGAGGCTACAGGGTCCTCAGACTTACAGCCTCCAAGCAGATATAGGATCACATGATCAGACTGTGTTTTATGCTTAGTATGGTGACATACACCTTTATTCCCAGCACTGAGGATGCTGAGGCAGGCAGATCTCTTAAGTTCAAAGCCAGCTGGTCTACAGAGAGAGTTTCAGGACAGCCAGTAGCTACACAGAGAAACCCTGTCTTGAAAAGAAAAAAAAAAAACAGATTGTGTTTTATAATGGCACATATTACCTGCAGGTGCCAGAAGGTGCCAGAGCAGAAATACTGGTTGCAGGGCCAGGCCAGTAGTAGAGTAGGGATTTCCAGAAGCAGAGATGGCAGGGAAATCTTTAAGGGGTGACCATAGTGAGATTTAATATTAGGAGAGACCTGGTTCAGCAATAAAAGGGATGAAATACTTTTAGATATGTTAAATCCAATGTGATAGGTTCTAAGTAGAACGGGCCAGGAGGTAACCAGAGGCAAAGGCCTAGAGGAAAGTAGAGAGCCTAGTAGGCTAGAGAGAAAAGTCAGTAACATATGTCAGCCAGGAGTCTCTGCTCTACAGAGGCAAAGGGGTGCCCTAGAGGACAGTAGAAGCCAGTAAGAAGAATGGCCAGCTTTCTTCCACAGCCAAGTAATATGAAGACTGAAAACTGATCACAGGCTTTAGGACCCTAGGACCCTTGGTGACACATCATCTCCATGAATTCCCTGTGTCCTCAGAGGAACATGAGGCAAGGGGAGGCGACCTTCATCGAGGAGCGAAGGGCACGGGAGAACCGGCTGAACCAGCAAAAGAAGCTTATTGACAAGATCCACACCAAGGAAACCAGCGAGAAGTACCGCCGTGTACATTTTGAGCCATGCCCCATGGCACTACTCACCCATGGGGGAAGAGCTGGGGGGATCCTTTACTTCTCATTCTCACACCTGGTTCTTTCTCCCACCAGGGTCGAAGGGACCTGGATTTCCCCTCCAATCTAATGAGTATGGAGACCATGAAAGGTGAGTCTCAGCTCCCTGCCTTGTCCAGCCCAGTAGCCAGCAATGTCTGGGACTGCCCAGCCAGGTCACCATGAGGCTAGATATAACCTGTGGTCACTAGAGTGAGGAGAGCCTCTGCCTCTCCCTGACTGCCCCTGAAGAATCTGATAGCCTATGGCATAGGATGGCTATCTTGGACAAGTAGACCTCAGTCACCCAGTGACATCTCAGAACTGCTTCCCAAAGCTATATAATACCATGCTGCTCCTAGTCCTAGAATTTCCAAAGTACTAAGAAGGGTCAGGCTGAGGAGAGCAGGGTTACATGAGGGCACCCAACATCCTGGGCTACTTTTCTGAAGCCTAAGTGTCTACAAAACCACCAGGTAGTCATTCCTGCACACTGACTAGGCCCTCCTCTCTGCTCTGCCCAGTGAGGAAAAGAGAAACTTCCATAGCAGATATGGAATACCAGACAGAAGTGACTGCTTTAGTAGAGAGGGTCAAATCTGCTGTGCAGTGCTCCCACCTCTGGGTAAGTTTCCCTGGCACTTGGAAAGTGTTAGCTTAGTGGTGGCTCTAAGCTAGGCCAGGGCCTGGGATGCTCTGCAAGAAGTTCACAAAGCTTAGACCTCCCCAGGGAGGTCCCCAGTGATGATGCTTCCAAGTCTGTAAAAAAATATCTGGGGTTTTTTAGGTATGGCTCAGAAAAGAAAATATTCCAGCATATGGCTGGCATTTCCCCACCATATTCTATGTACAGGACAGATGAAAGTCCAAATGCTAAGGACCTGGCCTCTCACCACAGCTCTAGCTTCTTCCCCAACTTGACAGCCACAATAAACAGCTGCTTCTGCTGGCCTCCTTTTGTCATAGACCCACCTGGGTTGCCATTGTCAGGCCTTGAGTTCCATCCACAGCATCTTGACAAAAAGCTATGTCTCAGGACATGTACAGGCTACCTCTCTGCCTAGCCCCTCACAAACCTTACTGCCCAAAAGTACTCCGTGTCATGACTGAGCCCCAACTACCAAGAATCTGCATTATCTACTGGGAGGGGTCCAGGAGAAACTAGGGCTGTGGAACCCAATTGCCTGCCAAGCCCACACCTGTTTCTCTCTGCCCTGGGATGGTTAGGACATAGCTGGCCGCTTCCTGGCACAGAGGAATACTGAGGAGAACCTGGAGCTACAGATGGAGGATTGTGAGGCACGACGGACACAGTTAGAGGCCCTGATGAAGAAGCTGGAACTTGAGGAGGCACTGCTCAAGTTCCACCAGACACCCAGCTCCGTTGGGTATGTTCCAGGGCTACTGGATGGCCCCATAGTGACAAGTTAATAGCTGCGCATATTTACTGTTTATCAGCAGAACTGAGCTGAGGATCTACCTGCTTGAAGCTGAATTTATGAGCCCCTGAAATTGACACCTGGTTCAGGACCCCTGTGGACCCTGAGAACTGTCCCACCCTCAATGCTGTGCCTACCTTCTTCACAGCTTTAGTTCCATTGAGAAAAAGATGAAGACCATGCTAGAAGAGGAAGAAGCAAGGCTCCAGCTGGCCCACAGCAACATGACCAAGAGCCAGCAGCTGCTGCTGGCCATCCAGACAGGTATTGACAACCTCTACATCCGGCTCATCGGCATCACCTTGCCAACCATCCAGGTATCAGCCCTGGGGAGGAGATGCTGTGCACAGGGTCCCCATTTGGAGCCACAGGAAAAACAAGATAATCCTCTGGTCTACAGAAAGAAGTAGCAATCTCAGACACCCTTGATGTATACGGCAAGCTGGAGTATTGCGAGGGGAAGCTCATATACCTGGCTGACCGCATGCAAGCACTGTCCAGAAATGAGGAGGTAGCCCTGGGCTTTGAAGGGGTACCCACAAAGCCCATGTCCTCTCCAGTCTGATAAGGGTGCTGCCCTGCAGGTTGACACAAAGGTGAGGGATGCCCTGGAGTCATCAACTCTAAAGGAGAAACATAATACCAGAATTACCTTTGAGGACCAAGAGGAGGACGTGATAGGTGAGGCCCTACATGCCAGTCACAGGGAAGAGATGGAGAGGGGGAACAGGAAACGTAGTTGCAACTAGGCAAGAGGTGGCATAGACTCTGACTGGAACAGTCTGACAAACTGGGTGCTAAAGGGAAAGGTGTTAATTGATAGAAGTGACATGGGTTAATCTTTATAATAATTTATTACTTGTTCTGAGACAATGGGGAATACCATGACAGTATTTGTGGTATAAGAACAGGTAGTTTGGGTGATCCTGGTGGCACCTGGCCTTGGGTAACTTAGGGCAGGGGTCAGTTCATGGAGTCTCAAGTCGTCGAACCATCTCTGAGATGAGCTCCAGACACAGGAGATGGCCCATGGAAACAAAGGAAAACAGATAGAGGTGGGAGGTCTCTGGAAAGAGGGGCCAAGCCACTCTTTCCTTGCCTGTTCAGAAACCTTCCAGTTTGCGGACGTGGACCATAGCTACGTCCCATCGCGGGCCGAGATAAAGAAACAGGGCCAACGGCTGATCGATGGGAAGCTCAAAGTGTCCAAAAAGAAGAAAAAGTAGACCAATCCAGGCTGTAATACACAAATAAACATTTTTCCAGAACTACTCTAGAGGAAGAATAAACCGCAGGACTCTAAGAGCGGAGAGGGGCGAGGCTGCTAGACAGGGGCGGGACCTAGCGCGCTCGCTGCGCGTGCGTCGTCTACGTGTCCCTCTTGCCGCCCCGTAGCCACGCCGGCGCCAAGATGGCGGCGCTGACGGGTGCTTGGCAGCTGCGCCGAGGGCCGCAGGATCCGGAGTGGATCCGCAGAGGCTGAGGCCCGAGAACCTCGCTCGGGGCCGCACCTGCCGTCGGGCCCCGGCTTGTGGCCGCGGCTGCTCCAGCCTCGGGGAAAGCCCGGGCCGGCCGGACATGGTGCAAGGCGCGCTTCGCTGCTGCTGCCGCTGAGCTCGCGGGTCATTCCGGCTCGCACGTCCAGCAGGAAGATGTTCTCCGCGTTGAAGAAGCTGGTGGGGTCGGAGCAGGCCCCGGGCCGGGACAAGAACATCCCCGCCGGGCTACAGTCCATGAACCAGGCGCTTCAGAGGCGCTTCGCTAAGGGGGTCCAATACAACAGTGAGTGCGGGCGGCGCCGTCGGGCAGGCCGGGGCGGCTGGCTGTACCCGGGGGGCGGGGGAGGGGGGTCCACCCAGCCAGGATGGTCTGGGAGATCCAGAGGGGCCGAGGTGGACGGGGTCCCTGGGCTCAGAATAGTGGCCCCTCCTTGAGGGCCGTCACCTGACAGCAGGAGACCTCCCCAAAAGAGCTGTGCAGCTACACTGACGGAGCAGCAGTGGAGTACCTGACTGGCGCGGGTACTCTGCGGAGAGAGACCATTACATAACAGGAGGGTGCGCGCGCGGGTGTGTGGCTAATGGATGGATGCGTGCCACCTGCCTCCCCTCCCCTCAAGGCCCCGGCGCGTGCTCTCACTTGATGCTCCTAAAAGTCGGTCGGCTCTGGGCCTTGAGCCGTGGCGGGGGGGAAGGGGGGGGCATTTTGTTTGTTATTGTTTTAAAGGGTTTGTAAGGGATATATTTTTTTTTTTAATTCCAAGAGGCTCTATATCTGCATCCCTGGTTCCACAGGAAGAAAGGCCCGCTATGCTCTTCGTTATAAATTATGTATGTTGTGCAGCCAGAAGCAGACGGTTCTCTTGACCTCTTTAGAGTTTTTTCCATTAGCAGTTTCTTTTCTAGAATAATCTAAAGATTCTTGGGCAGTTCCCTTGTCTGACATTGTTTACTTCTCTTCTATTTCTATACTGCTAGATTTTGAAGCATAAGTCTCCCACCCCACTCGAACACACAAGCTGCTCACTTTAAGCAGTGTCTTTCAGTGGCAGTGATATTTGGGTTATAATGCAACATGAAATTTACTAGGAGGATTTTGTGCACATTTAGAAGCAAACAGTTTATGTGTTAATTTGAAAGTTTGTATTTCTCTTGTATCTACAGAAGAGAATATTGAGTCAGATATTCAGTGGCTTGTGTTCTTTGGAATCTACGTTTGGATTCCTTACTTAGATTTGTATAGCATTACTCGAAACATAAATTTTATAAATTAAGCCTGAATTAGAAGCTTCTCACTTTTGAAACCTGCTCCCTAATGGACCTGCCCCTGTGGTCCTGAAGAGGAGGGACCTAAACGAGCTGAAGTCTTTCATATTTTACAAACTATCTTACTTACAGAAACAAACCTACAGTATAATAAATACAGATTTAGGATTCTTGTGAGAGTCACTTTTGATGCTTTCTAAGTTTTGAATTGTCTTTTACAAAATGCTGTCTTACATTCTGTAGGCACAATAATTTTTTTTTTTTTTCAATGTGTCAGGATAATAGAAATAACTCAGGGCACGGGGGCACATGCCTTTAATTCCATTACTTGGGAAGCAGGGGCAGGTAGATTTCTATGAGTTTGAAGACATCTTTCTTGTGGTATATCTAGTGAGTTCCAGGACGGCATGGACTACATAGAGAGACCCTTTCTCAAAAAGCAATAGAAAAAGAGTAAACTCAAAAAAACAAAAAACAAAAAAAAAAAAAAAAACCCAGAGTTTTAACATACCCACAGATAATTGCATCACTGTGAGTTGTCTGTATTTCAAAAGCAAAAAGAGGGAACTGCAACCAGAGTAAAGAGAGCACATTCTAAGGAACAGCACTGAACTGATGACCAACCTGGGTGGGATTCCAGACACTTATGCAAAATGGTGCTGAACTCACACTCAGTGTATGATTGACAACTTGCTGAGCAAAGTGTCTTAAAAAACAAATACTAAAGGGTGTTCTTTACGTAAATAGAACTTAAGCTGAAAAGACAGGTTTGGGATTCAAAAAGAAAAGGTAAGCAAAGAATGGGTCCATATGTAGTAAGCCCTGAATAAGCAGTGGCTGTATTAGTCACTAGTGATAATAAAGGCAATTGTTTAAAAAAAAAACAAACAAACAAAAAAACAATACTGAAATAGAGTCAGCCCTGAGTCCAGAATGAAGCTAGTCAGAGTTAAGACATTCAGAATTGGGGGAGGGGTATGGGTGGAAGGCTGCTGAGACAGGATCTCACTATGTAGTTCCTGACTGTTTTGGAACTCAGTTTGTAGACCAGGTTGACCTTGAACTCATAGAGACATGCTGCCTTTGCCTCCCAAGTGCTGAAATTAAACTATAAACCACTATAGCTGGCATGTATTAAAAAAATGTGTTGACTTTATATTACAGTGTGAATATTAAAATGTAGATTACAACTCTTTCAACTTTATGCCATGCAGAAAAGTTTGGCCAACTTAATAAAAGGCAAAGATAGCTGTGAGGAAACCACAATGGTAACCAAAAAATAGGATTAAAAAAAATTATTGGGGGGTATGCATGCCTTGGTGCACATGTGGCAGTAAGAGGACAGCTTGCAGATGTTAGTTTTCTCTGACTATATGGCTCCTGGTGTTGAACTAGAATTGTTGGGCTTAGTGGCAAGTGCCTTTACTTGCTGAACCATCTCACCAATCTCAGTCTCTCTCTCACTCTTGTGCTTGCTTGCTTACTCGCTCTCCCCTGCCCATTATTGGAGCTTGAACTTAGGTTCTTGTTAAGCAAGTCCTTTGCTGTTGAGCTACATACCCAGCCCCTTAAAATTATTAAATTAATGATTAATAATTTAATTATTAAATTTATTAATTAAATTAATTAATTATTAAATTAAATTATTAAAATAAATTAAATTATTAAATTAAGTGCTAATTTCTATTAGCAGTCACAATGCAATCAAAAAATTGGAAAAAAATTCTAAATGGGCCATATGGTTTTTGAGAGATACATTTATAATAGCAAAGGGAGTAAGTAAAAAGTTAGAAAAGAATCTGGCCTGGTAGCTGCAACTGCAGTAGTGTCATGTAACACACACTTGGAAGTTGGAGTAAGGAGGGTGCAGACCCATTGAGAAACAAGTTACCAATACATGATCTGTCCCTCTTAAATAGAGACAGCCATAAAAATTGAGAGTCTCAGCAAAGCCCTGAGAATGACAAAAGGACTGCATTGTGTTACCCAGTGAGTGATGAGGGTGAGGATCTGTATATGGCTTTGTTTCATTTTAAAATGGAGCCTTACTATTCTCAAACTGTTGAACATGTATGCTCGACTGGTCTTATGTCAATATTCTGAGTAGCTGAGAGGCAGGCATCTACTTCTACACTCAACTCTCAGCTATCTTTTTAGAGCTCTTAGCAGTTCCTTTATTAGTTCTTCATTGCTATGGGATGATCAACTTATAAAAAGTAAAAGTTTAGTACTCAGGCAGCAAAGGCAGGCAGAACTGAGGTCAGTCTGAGGTCAGCCTGGTCTACTTTAGCTCTACAAAGACAGGAAGGGACGTGTAGAGATCCAGATTCAGTTCATGGTTAGTCATGGTCAATTTGAAAGCCTAGAAACATAGATCCTGGGAAAGCAGAAGGAAGGAAATGCAAGAAAAGATAAAACGGATTTTTAAAAAGATCTGGTTGAGGCATTCAATAGAACATACCAGCTGATTATATAATGACTAATCTTGGAATACTGATTTTAAAAGGCAGAACAACCAGGTGAGGTAGCACATGCCTTTAATCTCAGCACTTGAGAGGCAGAGGTCTACACAGATAATTCCAGGCTGGCCAAGGCTCATAGAGAGACTGCCTCAAAAGAAAGCAGTGGGGGTGTGGAGAGATAGCTCAGGGGTTAAAAGCACTGATTTTCTCCAGAGGACCCAGGTTCCATTCCCAGTAACCACATGGTATGTCACAATTGTCTGTAATTCCAGTTCTCAGTGATCTGATGCCTTCTTCTCAGGATCCTGCATATACTTGGGGCATAAGAACTCTCACAACCACATGTACATATGCATAAAATATATTTTTTTAAAGCAAAACATTCAAAGAATTTATATTGAGGACTGGAGAGATGCTTGATGATGTGCTTGCTGCACTGGATTGTGGTCATATGTACCTTTAATATCAGCACTCAGGGAGGTGGGTTTCTGAGTTCCAGGACAGCCAGGGCTACACAGCAAAACCCTTCCTCAAAACCAAAGGGGGTGGGGGAAGGAGGGCCTGTTGCTTTTCAATGGAACCTGAGAGGGAATTTATTGGAGCTTACAGTAGCAGCAGGCAGATGGACATGGCTCTGAGAGCTTACATTTTATCCACAAAGCAGCAGGCAGAGAGACTGGACCAGCCCTGGGCTTTTGAAACCTCAAAGCTCAATCCCAGTGACACACTACCTAATCTTTCTAAGCAGTCCGCCAACTGTTTGACCTCTCAGATATGGGACCATTCTCATTCATGCACTGCAGCCAGATGGGACCAAGCACATCCAGAAGTCCAGCTGAGCTGTGAGACCAAGGTGGCCACTGGCTTCTGGTACAGTAGATGGGTTTGGAAATGGGAAGGGACTTGACTCTGCAGCAGACCAAACAGCCTAGGAGAAAGGAGGAAGTGACCATAGGAGCCCATAGCTTCCCCTTACCCCGCCTCTTAAGTTTCTATATCTTCCTAGACCCTTTCCTAACCTAATGGATGCCTTGAGGACAGCCTGGAACTCCTGCCCTTCAAGGTGTTTTTGGCAGCATTATCAATCTCTGCATGTCCCATAGTGCTGTCCAGGAAGCACCAGCCTAACACCCATGCCTTCCCTGCCCATTTCAGCATCATCAGTCATTCATGACTCCTGTCCCACGCAACAAAGATGTCAGTCTTCCCAGCCAGTGCCAAGCCTGTTCTCATTCTCCTTTGCTCCTGTTCCTCCTAGTTTTATTGACACTGTGTCAGCTCCAAACTGCTCTTTATTACCTTTTCAAAACACCTAATGGTGTTTACCTCTCTTATACCTCTCTAAAAGGTATAAGGGCCTAAAGACAATACTACATCTCATTCACCCCATTCATGGAACTTTTTTTTTCCACATGTCAATCCTTGCCCAAAGCCAACAGACCCTCCTGAGTTCAGGCCTGGTACACAGTGCAGTGAGTGAAATAGGTATAGACTTACACAAAACTGCACTACAAACAGTAGTAGTGTGAGAAAAGTTGATGGGAAGCCAAGTACTGGGTACCATCCTGGGCCCTGTTCTTTGATTGGTCAGCTCAAGTCTGTGCAGTCCACCCCTGATCCTAAGGGTCCCTGGCAGTTCCTCAGAGTCTGTAACTAGGAGAAAGACAGGCCCAGCACTCTGGTGCTGCCTTCTGCCACCAGCCCTGGCTTCTCTTCTTGTGCTACATTTCTGGCCACTGTCAGGTACCCTTGTACTTTTTGGAGACTCTGTCCTGCCTTAACCAGAATTAGTCTGTTGGGGAGCTGCTGTCATCCTCACATATTCTTTTCTGCATGCCAGTCACCTGAGAAAATACAAATTCACATTAAGTTGGGACAAACGTAATACTTTAAAGTTTTTAAAGAATGACTGATTAATCTTTTTTCTTTCATTTGCCCATCCTTGCCCCAGTGAAGATTGTGATCCGGGGTGACAGGAACACGGGCAAGACTGCTCTGTGGCATCGACTGCAAGGCAAGAAATTTGTGGAAGAATACATCCCCACACAGGAGATCCAGGTCACCAGCATCCACTGGAGTTACAAAAGTGAGTTCAAGGCCTATAATAGCTCAGCACTCTTTTTTACCCCTGTACAGTATGTGTCCTGCCTTCCCAGTTCATGGAAGGTACTTTATGAAACTGAGAAAACATTGCCCATGTTGGAGGCCCCACTAATTAAAGTTGCATGTGAATTACCTCATCTGAGTTTTGAATCTGAAGTTTCTCCTCGGTGCCTCAGGCCCAGGATACTCAACAGTTACAAGTAAGGAAGCAAAGACACACCTTATAAGATAAGAATTCCCTGGATACCTCTAGGAACAGATCTACCCATAGTCATCAGTGGCACACAGGACTGCTTTACCCTGTGGGAGTACATGCTGTGAACCCTGGCAATTGCTCATCCCTGGAGAACAGTGTGGCTATTTGACCCCTTGTCCTTCCCTTCTGGGTCCTGGGGTCTTCACCATCCTTTCAGTTCCCTCAGTTCCAGGACATCCCAGAATGGACAGTGGCTGTTGAAAAAGGCTAACTGGAACTTGGAAAATGGTTTTTATTCTCATGAGGCAAGTCAGGGCTGGCAGTAAGAGAAAGCCTCAGGAGACTGTGGGGAAAGTGGCCAGGTAGGCAGAGGGCTGTGGCAAGGGTATAAGGGCTACAGCCAACCTGGGCCTGTTCAGATGACTCAATATCAGAGCTCTAGCCTTTGAAACTGAACTGCATTCTTGCACTCTGCTCAACCCTCACTGAATACTGGCCAGTCAGATGAAGAAGTGGGGTTGGAGAGATGTGACTTGGACAGCTGCTTAGGGTGTGAGCATCCATTCAGGGACCCACAGGCTACTGAGTGTGATTGGCGTGTGATGGCTTTATCCATGGGCTAATAGATGAATTGTCCTGCATGCTAGGGCCTAGGGGAACAGCCTTACAAACCCTAGAGCATGCATTGCACAGGCCCCAGGAAGCTAGTGATATCAAAATGCCCTTGACCCTGTTTGGCAGCCCAGAAGCGGCTGTGATACTAGTTATTAATCTGAGGATTTTCTTTGTTTCAGCCACTGATGATGTAGTGAAAGTTGAAGTCTGGGATGTAGTTGACAAAGGTAAAGTACATTTTTTTCTTTAATGCTTGATGGACTTTAAATAGGCAACTCCCTCTCCACACATGCACCTCATTTGCATGTCCTTGTGCCCATTACCTCAAGTCTAGTTATTCTTCCTTAGGTCCCATGTCCTATTTATCCCTGTCACACAGAACCACTTTTGGCTCAGAGACATGACAAAGGCACCAACTGTATTTACTCAAGAATATAGGAGGTTTGGTTTGCTCTTACATCAGAGTTTTTGTGTGATCCCTTCCCTACCTGCTCTAGGTTCTGAGACCTGGTCACTTCCCTCCCTTAAAACTCTGACCCATATGAAGCTGTTTCCAAAGCCCTCCTGTGTTTCCCATGGTATCAGACCTGCATGCAAAATCACACTGGGCCCTAAGCCTCAGTAGCTTGGCAGCCCTGCTCTGAAGGGAACAGAATGTATCCTTGGCATTCACAGGGTACTACTGTCAGATATTCTTTTACTAAGTGATGGCTTAATGATCAGTGGTCTCTAATGAGAACTTGTTTTTACAGGCAAATGCCTACAAGGATCTTGTCTGACTTGGGTCCAGTTTATAACTACCTGTTTGACCCTCTGGCACTGGGACAGCCCTAATTATTGAGATGGACAGTATAAGTTCAGTGCACCAGCACAGTAGAAATGTATAAGACGGCACCATGAATCAGGAAGGTTGTGGGAGGCAGGAGCAAAGTCAGATAGCGTGAGAGCACGCCTTGGTGTGGTCCAGGACTTCATTCAAACAGATTTGCCATGGAGAGTTTTAATTGGATTTAGAGAAGAAGGCAAGCTGGATTTTGTTATGTTGTTAGCTGTGTTACCCACGTGATAGAGGTCAGCAACCTGTATATAGCATTTCTTACAGACTGGGTCACCAAGTCAAAGCACCTAGGTAAACCCAGCCGCACAAAGATCTGTCCTCATCTAAATCTGCAGAGGGCAATGTCAGAGCTCCTCCTCAGAGTGCTCTTGTGGTGGCATCTTACCTTCTTATGTTGGGTCATAAGTTCCTCTGTGATCCTGGGGGTGACATTGTGTATGTATTCATACAGGTGCTGAGCAGTGTGACTTCTCACATGTTAGCCTCTGACCAAACAGGCAGAGCATCACCTCTTTAGCTTTTAACATAAGACGTGACCTTTGACCTCTCACAACCCCTTTGGAGGTACTACCTTTGACCTGACTCCTGGCATCCTCAGCATGGCTGTGCTGCAAGTCCTCCAGTTCAGGACTTTACAGGAAGATGTGTTTTCAGGGCTCTGGTTTCTGGCACAGGTTGTGCTTTCCCCTCCCTCCTCGATCAAGTTTTTTTTTTTTAGTGTGGATTTGGATCAAGTGTTGAAGAATAGTTGAAGCCACTTTTTTCTGTGGTTCCAGCAGTAACACAGCTTATTGAGCCCCTGTTGAACTTGGTGTGTCTGTACACCTCTGAATGTTGTGTGTGCATCTTTGGAGTATTGTTATAACCTGCTGCCTGAAGTCTATCACTGTATACACTGAGGGTAAGAGTCACATCTACATGAAGCCATCAGGTTGCCTAGGCCAGTTGTCCTCCACAAGCCATAACCCCCATCAACTCAGGAAATACTTGCTGCTGCTCCACAGAGGGGCCACCACTTTGGAACCACAGTGCCTTCCTAAGTCTTGATCAGATCTAGTCTGCACATCTACAACTGCTGCCATGGGATGCACTGTCCTACAGACAGGATTTTAAAGAGTGCATCAGGACTTGGGACTGGATATCAGATGGGACTCTAACGCAGCAGCCTCAACCTCTCACTCAGGACCCTTCAGCATGGCATGTTCTATTCCAGCTGGCATAAGAGCCCATGAAACAGGATGACACCTCCACTGCCTAGGAGCCATGGAACACTTTTCTTCCTACTGTACTAGGCTCTCGGGTATCTGCGCAGATCCTTGTTTATGTGAAGTCAGGTTGGCTCCCAGCAGGGACAGCTCCTAAGTCATGAAGTACCTATATATTCATGGCTGTTGTTTCCCACTCACCATAGAGGGGCAAGAAACATGGACCCATGTGGTCCACAGTCTGAGTAGTGTCCATAGCAGCAAAGGACAGAAATATGAGAGAAATGAAAGCAACCAAGGGCTCAAGGGCAGTGGGTAAGTTTTCCAGAGGACTAGGCAGGTAGTTTAGCTCAGCAGGCTCAAGTTTTGTGGAGGCAGTGTTCACAAGTCCTTGTTTAAAAGCTTTAAAAGGGAAAGTTAACAGAAAGTAGCTTGGTGAGTTTTTGCTTCCCCTAGCCTCCCAGCTCCTGTCCAACCCTTCTCTTCTGCCCCAAGAGTGGTTCCCACAAACACTTTTACACCAACTTGTGGGAAGATGCTGGTTGTGCTAGAGACTCACACCCTGAATGGCCCTCCTGCCATTCACTCTGTGAGGGTCAGGTTGAACCATTACTACACCTGAGGAAGAGAGGGCCTGGCTCCCAAGCTGACCTGAGTGTGGGACTTCCAGAGTGATGTGGAGCTTGGTGTTATAAGCAAATTAACCTGAGTTTGTTCTCAGGAGGCATTTGTTTGCTCAAGGTTGTGAGTAGCCCATTTGCCCAGATGGACATTTAGATGTGAAAAGGAGGATGGACAGTGATATCATCTTTTTATCTCTAGAGTCCAGTGTTAGACTCCAGACAGAGCCTGTGGCTATCTGCCAGATAAAAACACTTTAATAACCATGACAGGCAATGTCAGGCTGTGCTGGCCTTCTTCTCATCTCCCAATGTGCCAATGTCATAGTGATGCAGGAAAACTGCTTAGGGAATTCCAGATACTTCCTCACTTAGGCAAATCCTGAGCTGAACAATTCATTCCTAATTTTTGTTTGTCTTTTAACAAGGAAAATGTAAAAAACGAGGTGATGGCTTGAAGATGGAGAATGAGCCCCAGGAGGTGAGCCACATTGTCAGGTGGGTCTGTGCCAGTGTCTTAAGCAAGGCATCTGTGGTTCCTAGGGAGGTCTCCAACCCTTTACCCTGGGTCTCCTGCCCATCCTGAGATCCTGAACATTCTAGTTATGCTATGGGTACAGTGGTCACTGACTGTTGTTAACTACTTTCAAGACTGTGCTGCCAGGGTTAAATTTTAGGGTTACTGCCTACTTAGAGTGCCAGCCCCATGTGACTGATACCTGTTCTGCTTCACTCTGCATTCACAGTGAACTGAATGGTATGAATGGCCTGTAAGGGGCCATATTTTACATCTCTGTCACAGTGGCTTTGTTCTTAAAAGTGCTAGTATATTTTGGAGACATGGCCCTGGTACCACAAGTGGGACCAAGCACAGTGCTCATGTTAGATACCCCTTCCTTCCTGTTGTTTTAGAGAATTTCGCTCTGTATTCTCCCTTAGTGGATAGAAAGCCTCCTCCCTCTTCAAGGCTGGAAATTTAAATAATGCATACCCCGTCCCTGGCCCTTTTCTATGTAGTCTTTGTTCTGGAACTCATCTTGATGGGTTGATATTATATATATATACGTATATATATATATACATATATATATACATATATATATATACATATATATATGTATATATATATTTTACCATTTGCATATTTTTTAATTTGTTTTATTTTGCTTTTTTTTTGTAAGTTTGTTGATGTTTTCACACACATATATAGTGCATTCTGTTTACTCTCTACCTCCTCTTGTCTCCCTCCTACCCCTGTCATCTCCCTCCTTCCTACAAGTCCTTTCCTTCTTCTTCCATCATTTCCTTTGTTGTTGTTGCTATTGTTGTTGACTCAGTGTTTGACCACATGTCTGAAATTATCCACTGGCATTTGTTGTGCTCACTATTGGGTACATGCTGAAGATAATACCTACTCCTCCCCAGTCAGTAGCCAATAGTTTAACAGGGATAGGATCCCCCATGAGAGCTAACATCCCCAACCCGTGATTGGCTGTTGACAGGTGCAGGCCACCACAGCTGCCAAGAGCATCTCCTAATCCTCTCAGTCTTCTGGTTCTTAAATTCTTTCTGCTTCCTATTCCATGATGTATGTTCCACTAAACTGTCATTCCCAATAACTTGAGCAGCCAAAAAGAATAGATTTTTCTGAGTAAGGATGTGAGTAGCATTTATCTATGGATGTAAACCTAATATTTAGGATGCAGTTTGTGTCTGTCCAATTTAGCTAAAACAGCTGTGAGCCCACTCATCCCCACCCATGGCCTATGACTTCCCAGCCATGGGGTTTGACCAGGTTTCAGCACCATGTGTTGTTTTGTTTTTCCTCTGAAAACCATCGCAAGGGGCAGCTGAAAGCACTAGCACTTGCTTCTGGGAGTCTTTGGGCAGGCCTCCCCTGCAGAGGTGGAACTTTTTGCTCCAATTTCCACAGCTAATCTTGTGTGCACCCACAAGTGTTTCCTTAAGGTTTTTTCCAAAACAAAATGACATTTTACATTAGAAAAGCCCCATTCTGCATTTTTCAGGTGTTTGAAGGTCCACAGCTGTGGGATTTGCCAGGGACACAGTCTTACTCTTTCTTTCTTCTCTTTCTAGGCAGAGTCTGAAATGGCCCTGGATGCTGAGTTTCTGGACGTGTACAAGAACTGTAATGGAGTGGTCATGATGTTTGACATCACTAAGCAGTGGTAAGAGGGGCACAGGTAGCTGCCAGTGTCTGCATGCCTTCATGTAGTACCACGTGATTCCTCTGTTGGTGTGGAGCTTCCTGCTATGCCAGCTGTGGGCAGAACCCATCACCTAGAGGACTGAGGCATCTGTGTACGAGATGGGCATAGATTCATATCTGTGCAGAGGTTAGGGGAGTCGGTGCCTCAGGCTGATAGCCAACAATGATAGGGATTAGGTGCCACCTCCCACAACATTGCTGTCAGAACCAAGTGGCCTATTGTATTGAGGGGGAGCTTCCCAGAAACAACGCACATGTGCATGAGTATGCACACACACACCTTCTCAGTAACTCACCAAGAAAACACAGCTAAGACTCGTGACAACAAAGGACAAAGAGCAAAGTGAACAGTGGGTCCAGGGGTTCAAAGACCAGGTGCAAGCCTCCTGAAACCCCACCAAACTCCATTGAGGGAGACATAATTATGAGAAATGTCCTCAGGAGACTGTATTGCACACTGTGATGAGACTGGGAATCTTTCTGTCACCAACAACAGGAAAACATCCAAGAGGCTCCCAAGTGTCCCAGAGTCTTGCTTGCTCTGAAAAACAATGTCTTAAAAACACTGTAGGAGCCAGACATGGCTACTATACACCTCCAACCCCAGAAAATGGCAGAGGCAGGTGGGTCTTTGTGAGTTCAAAGCCAGTCTGGTCTACATAGAGTCTAGGTTAACTAGGGCTACATAATTAGACCCTATCTAAAAAACCCACTGCATTAAAAGAAGGAAAGAAGCCCTGACAGCAGCTCATTTTAGAAGTAGCCTTTGGGGATTTGCCTTGCCTTTTACAGTACTCTTATTAGTGTTACATGTATAATCTGTGTTCACATTAGAAAAAGCAGAGAATAGCATTCTGTTCCATCATTGTTGACAGCTGAAACAGGCCAGCTAGGTTTTCTAGCACCATACATTTACAATGCGACCTGATTGTACTTCTGTTACTTAAGAATAGTCACATGGCCCGTCTGTGGTGGTGCATGCCTTTAATCCTAGCCCTTGGGAAACAGAGACAGGTGGATCTTTGTGAGTTCAAGGCCCGCCTGGTCTACAGAGTGAGTTCCAGGACCGCCAGGACACACAGAGAAACCCTATCTAAATAACAAAAACAAAAAAGAATAGTTACATACTTGGGTACACCAGCTTCCAACATGTGTGCATGCTAAGCTGCTAAGCCTTGGATTGCCATTAGCTCTGGACATGTCATTGATTCTGGTTTAAGGGTCCTGAACCTAGAGATCCTTGGTAGCCACAGTCTACACTAACATATTCCTGCAGCCTCATATTCCTGGGCCAATACTCACAGGCCCAGATCCAACCCTCCCAACCTCAGGACACCTATATGCTTGCCTGACAGGCTGGCAACTGGCATACGCAAGAAGCTTCTGGGGGCTACAAGAGGCAGGATGGGCCACATGCTCCAGTTCAGCAGTATATGTGTGTCATAGACACCCATATGCAAAACATACAAGTATAGAACAGATACGTATTTTGCCTATGTGAGTGTTGGTAGTACTTGAGACATGTCTTTGCCATGTGAAATTGTGTCTGGACACTGAAGGCCCCTATATTCCACTATGATCTTTGCAGTCTTAACTTCACAAGACCCTGCAGCTATCAGGAAGGATTACAGTGGAGCAGGTAGTGCCTTTAGGAGCAGTGAGGATCTAACTGCTTGGCTGAGTATCATGACGTGATTTCTGATCTACAGAGTGGATAGGAGACTAAGCCAGCTCAAGAAGGATGAACAGATGCTTATTTGGGAGCCATGAGACTTTATAGGCCCTTGTACTCACAAAACACCAGTCATCAGACCACAAGGATCACAGCCATTTTTGAACTTCTGAGATCCCTAGACATCAACATGATTGGTTCTAGTAGTTCATGCAAGTTAATAGACACTGTTCAGAGCCTGAGCACTGAATGTGAAGGATGGAAAATAACCATGTTCACACAGCTGCCATTCAGTGAACACACCTCAGATGTCTTGTGGGTTAAAAGATGCCAGAGATACTTCCAAAAGGATAGAGCAAAGATGGGAGAGGCTGCCATAGTTACAGGCATGTTGCATTTTCATTGCTTGGAAGGAAAGCTGAATCATACTCATTTCATAGATTGTGGGAGGTGTATGTTTGTGGATTTTCTAGAAACTAGGTCTCTGCATAGCTTAGGCCAACCTGGAACTGATTCTGTAACCTAGACTGGCCACAAACTCTTAAATCCTCTTACCTTAGCTTTCTGAGTACTGAGGTTATTGGTATGTTACTGCCATTCCTGGATTTTTTTTTTTCTTTTTGGGGTGGGGGCAGGGCATAGATACTGGAGAGTGAGCCTGGGACCTTGCATATGCTCAGCAAGTGCTCAGCCACTGAACTATCCACTGAACTGTCTTTACAAGACATTTGGAGATGTTGGGCTAACTTGTAAAATGGATCTACAGGGCACTCCCACATTAAGTCAGCCCTGGAAAGACCTGTAAACTGTAGGTAGCATTGTTCACTGCAGAATAAGCAAGGCCCTAGAGACAGTCACTTCACTAAGGACACTTCAGTGATGGCATTCGTGAAGCAAGAGCCAAGAAGCAAGGATAAGTGAATGAGCTGCAACCCCAACCTCAGTTTGTAACAGAACTGAAATTCAGAATGATGCTACAAACAAGTTAGGCTCCAAGTTCTTTTTTATGGGGAGTGGAATAAGGAGTTGTGTGATAAAGACCAGAAGACTACCTATGGGAGTCAGCTCTTTCACTCTACCATGTAGCCCCAAAGATCAAAGTCAGGTCATCAAGCATATTGGCAAGCACTTCTGCCCACTAAGCCACCCCACTAGCCCTTGAAGCAGTTTTATACGTGGTACACTAATTAAAGGCAAGAGAATGGAGCACCATGATTTGAGGTGCAGAGGAACTGTGCTCTCTGGGAGAGAGTGACCAGAAATGCAGGCTGCAGGTTGTAGTACTTGTTCATCTCTGAGCACTGCCTGAGGTGACAGGTGCTCTGGGGATTTAGACCAAGCACATAGCTATCTGAGGGTCACCCAGCTAATGCAAAACACTCCTTCCCTTTTCGAAGGACCTTCAATTATGTTCTCCGGGAGCTTCCCAAAGTGCCAACCCATGTGCCGGTGTGTGTGCTGGGCAACTACCGTGACATGGGTGAGCATCGAGTCATTCTGCCAGACGATGTGCGTGACTTCATTGACCACCTGGACAGGTGGGTGCTACCAGTTCTGCTCCTGTGACAAGGACCTGTGTTGTGCTCTGGTAGACTTTGGGGGAAGCTTGTAGACACTGGAGCAAAGGCATGGTCTCATCCTGTGTTGGAGATAAAATGACAGCATCCTGGCCCAGAGAGGGTGAGGAGGAGTTCCAGGTCTCCAAGAGATGGTAATGATATAGAAGATGTGAAGACCATATGGCAGGACTGTGGGGCCTGCCTGGCCCCTGTCAGTTCTTCAGATCACCCCAGAGGAGTAAGCAGCAGAAGTCCTTAGGAACCTGCTGGCAGAAGGAAGCTAGGTAGGCAGGACACCTTAGACTTAGTTGTGGTCCTTGACATAGGATTTAAGCCACCCTGCCCACTGAGTTCCTTTATCTTTGAAAACAGACCTCCTGGTTCCTCCTATTTCCGATACGCTGAGTCTTCCATGAAGAACAGCTTTGGCCTAAAGTACCTGCATAAGTTCTTCAACATCCCATTTTTGCAGCTACAGGTAAGTACTTACCAGGTAGGACAGATAAGTAGGTAGCCATCACTTTTGTGGCTCTGCACAATGATTGGTCTTCTCCCTAAGCCTGAGAGCACTCTCGGGCATCATCTTGGAAACTGGCTACCAGCATGTGTTTAGTGGGCTAGAGATGACACATACAGCACTCAAAGCAGCAGGCTGAAAGTGGGGTAACATTCCTGCTCTCTGAGAGCATTGGAAATCTCAGTCCAACATGCAGGGCCCTTATTTTCCTGTGGGCCACAGATCGAAGTACAGGCCCCTTTGCCAGACTAGCACAGAGTTATGGAGGAGGTCCCAGGCATACAGAGGTGTCTTTCTTCAAGAGACAGGTTCCAGGACATGCAGCTTCTGTGACACCACCTCCAAGTGCTGTGTTGGCTGTACTCTGAACCATCTGGCCATCTCATAAAGAACAGAAAACCTCCCTTGCCTGAAGCATCTAGCTTTCCTGATGCAGTTGAGGCACGTAGGATGGCTTACCAGGGTGAAGAGCCTTACCTACCCTCCTTTTCAAAAAGTATTCTTCTTGGAACCTTTTAGATGTATAAAAGTGGCGTAGGGTGTACATAGTGGCACAAACCTATAATCCTAGCATTTGTAAGGCTAAGTCAAGATCACTTTGGATTTAAGGCTACATAATCAGGTTCAGTAAGTGTGAGACTCCTGTCTCAAAAATTAAAGTGCTGGTCATAGTGGTACACACATGTAATCCCAGTACTTGGGAAGTGGAAGCAAGAGGTTGATCAGAGGTTGAAGGTCATCCTTTGCTAAGTAACATGTTCACAACCAACCTGGGCAACAACACAAGTTGTTGCAGAGATAGATATCCCTACCCAGTCCCCACTGCCTCTGGCTTATGGTTCTATCTTTTGTCAGAGCCAAGGAGCCAATGTCAGTCTATAAACTGAATTCAAGGCTCCATCTAGTCCCAAATTCCCACTACAACCTGCTTAAGCCATGGTCAGTTTCTTGGTCCTGAGGCATGCTGTAGTTTCTCAGAGCTAAGAGCCTCTGACTAGACAGATGATGGGACAAAGCTCTGGATCCTAAACACAAGAATGGAGGACCAATCCCTGGCACATCCCTTTTGGGACCAACAGCTGAAGCAACTTGGTGTGAGATCTCTGGCTACCTTTCTGGACCTGGAGACCTGTAGCCTCTCCTGTGTCTAGAGACCCTTCATACTTTATCCAAGACACCAAACTCAGGAAAGTAAAGCCCTTCTTTTCCTCATCTCTCTCCCTTTTGAGGAACATGAGATTCCTGCAGGTGGGGTTATGCTGAGGAGCCTTGGGTTAGGAAGAAGGCCAAGGCTACTCAATTGGAAGCCTTTCCACTGAAGACTCCTGCTGTTTGACCAAACTTCCTGGGGAGCCAAAACACACCCACCTACTCACTCCAGATAGGAACCTAACAGACCAAAGTGTGGATACCACCAAAGTCCAGCTTTGTGAACCAGTGAGTTTTATTGGGGTGCCTTACCAAACTATGAGTGAGTACTTATAGGAGCAGAAATTACTTAAAGCTGTGTCACCAGAGCCCACCCTTCCCCAGAACCAGTAACAGCTTACAGAAGCTAGGAACCTGGAGCACCCTTCACAGCCAGCAGGCAGCTCAACAGGTCTAAGAATGTCTAAACCTCTTCCATGCAGCCACTCTGGTCTGAGTCTTCCTTCTCTTCTGAGAGTTATCCTTTCATCTCAACTTTCTTCCCTCTGAGAAGCACTCTTAGCTTTTATTGCTTGTTGGAGCAGAGAGGGCCTAGTGAATCTGGTCAGTTTCAGGGACTTCCTGAAGCTATTTTAAGTTGTTTGCCTTCTTGTTTAAAGAGTCCTGCAATATGTAATGTTTCCGTGTCAGAGGAAACTGTTAACAAAACTGCTTACACTGGTCCACTCTGTGAGAGCTTTACCACTGATTTCTGCCAAGGGAGACAAAGGGATGCCAAGATAGTCAGGGAATCTGATGGCCACTGTCTGGCAGTGGTTGGTGGGTGCCTGGAACTAACCATGGATTGAAACATTCTATCTTGAAGGGGCTGACTACTCTTCTAGAGAATGACATTTCAATTCCCAGCACCCACATGGGTGGCTCACAACAGTCCATTCTCAAGGGATCATAAATGCCTTTCTGTGCTCTGTGAGTACTATGCATTTGTAGTGCACAAACATAACATGCAGACAAAACATCTACTTACATTAAATAATAATTTGAAAGAAAAACATTTCTTTGGGGGTTCAGGAATATAGCTCTATTGTTAGATTACTTGCCTGCCATGCACAACACCCTGGGTTCCGTCCTTAATACTCTAAAAAGCCATGTGTAATACATGCTTGTAATCACAGCACTGGAAAGGTAGAGACAAGGAGAAAAAGAAATCCAACATCATTCTTAGCCATGAAGCAAGTTCAAGGCCAGAGAACCTGCTGCCCTTCCAGAGGGGCAACATACACATTGGGTGGCTCATAGCTGTCTGTTACTCTAGCCTCAAGAGATCCAATGCACTCTTCTACACTCCGATCATTTAAACATGTGGTTTTTCTCACACACATATATGCACATAAAAATAACAAGCCAATCAAGTTTGTTCACACCTATAATCCCAGCACTCTGGGAGGCAGAGGCAGGGATTACAGGACATCCACAACTACACAGAAACCTTGTCTCAAAAAAAAAAAAAAAAAGAAAAAGAAAAGAAACAAAATAACAAAAACAAGTCTTTAAAAAAACAACTATAGCCAGGCAGTAGGGGCACTTTACTTCCCAGCATTGGGGAGACAGAGGCAGGCAGATCTCTCTGAGTTTGATGCCAGCCTGGTCTACAGAGGACAGCCAAAGCTACAGAGTGAGACCCTCTCTCAGACAAAAAAAAAAAAAAAAAAAATCATATTTTATATATGGTGCATGCCTTTAATCCCAGCACTGAGGAGGCAGAGGCAGGTGGATTTTTAAGTTCGAGCCCAGTCTAGTCTACAAAATGAGTTCCAGAACAGCCAGGGCTACACAGAGAAACCCTTTCTCAAAAAAACAAAAAGCTATAATTCCACCATTATTTAAATCGCTAGTTATTGGTCAATATACAGAGTAAGGTCTGAATAATACAGTGTATTTGATGTGGCTGTCTAGGTTTTTCTTGGTGTAGCATATCTTTAGTTTTAAAGTAGAGAACTCATCAGTCTGTGGTATGCCGACATATTGGTCCTGAGTGTTGATCTGCATCATTCTCACTTATTTCTTCTCCTTCTTTTGAGACAAGGTTTCTCTGTGTAGCCTTGGCTGTCCTGGAAATCCATCTGTATGTAGACCAAGCTGGCCTCAAACTCACAGAGATCCATCCCTCTGCCTGCCTCTGCCTCCTGAGTGGTGGATTAAACGGCAGGGGCCACCACCACCCAGCTCATGTATTTCTTTTCATTTTTCAGAGTATAAACAAACCCCAAGTCTCTTGGTCTGTAGTTACTCCTACTTTTTTCATTTGGTTTGTTTGCTCTGTGCTGAAAGCACCCCTAAGTGTGAGCCTGGGGCAAGCCCTGTGCCAGGGCTTCTTGTGAAATCAGTGCCTGTCCAGCAGGGCCTTTTCTGGTTAGAAATACTGTCTGTCTCCTGTGCTTACACAACCTAGAAGTTGCTGTATTTCAAGATTAAATTTAAATGCAAGAAGCCATGTCAACTGACAGCCATAGCAGCTGGACTCAGAGGTTTGATCTGATCATCTTTGTTCAAGGTAGAAGTGTACAGTTTACCCAGTCTGTACTTGGCCGAGTTCCTCACCCACCCAAAGTTGCCCCTGGGACTCCCCAGATGCTTTAAGTACCTGCTGCCATGGTTTTGTGGCCTGAAAGGCTGTTGTAGCCAACTGAAAAGTGCTAGTGACCAAAGGTATGTAGAAACAAAAGGTGACGCTTTCTGGTGTGGTTCCACATGACTGACCTGTATCCTCCAAGCCACACAAGCTGACCTTAAAGGCAGCCAGTCCTCATGCCTCTCACAGGAAGAGGCTATAGAGTGAAGAAGAGGCTTACTCAGCTATGTCTGCTTCCTCCACAGAGGGAGACCCTGCTGAGGCAGCTGGAGACAAACCAACTAGATATCGATGCCACACTAGAGGAGCTGTCTGTGCAGCAGGAAACTGAGGACCAGAACTACAGCATGTACGTGAGCCAGCATCTACAGATATGCAGGCCCCAACTAACCTAAGTGGGAAGGGTGGGTGCCACACCCTGTTGCCAGTGAGCCCTAGTGTCAACAGATAGGAGCCATGTGCGAAGCTTTGGTCTGCACCCATGAGGCAGTAGAGAAAGCACTGACTATTCTTCAGCCAAAAATCTTAGTGGTACTCAGTGTAGAGCAGTGTGGGGAATAGCTGACTAACATGGCTTTGTAGCTCATTCCAACCTCTTAGAATAAGGTTTTGACGCGCTGTGGCCCAAAACCCTTCCTGTTCATCCATTGAGGGTCTGAATTATTACTCAGTGCACTTCTCTAGAACAAGTGGATTAATATTGTGAATGGAGCCATGCTGTATTGGGGAGCAGCCTCAACTTCCATACATCCCCCTCAGTTCTTGTAAACAGTGAGAGCACATGCTCCTAAGGGTGTTGGCTCTAGCATTTTATATCCCCAAGTACTTTAGAGCTAACAGAACCTACAAAGTGCTTAGACATCTGGATCAGCACATCCTGTGATTAGAGCAACTCATTGAATGTAATTGCTAACCCTGCCCCACTGACCATATCCGGCCACACCTCTTGGTCATTAATGTTTGGCCATATGGATACTGCTGACAGTCACTGGCCTACCCAAATCCCATAAGAACAGTTGGTCCTTAAGGAACAGTCTGGTCAACCATCTCTGTTTTGAGACTCAGTTCTCTGGGCTAGTACCAGTATAGACTCAGTTCCCTGGGCTGGTACCAGTGTACAGGGAGAGCATGGCCTCTGGAACTACAGTGCTAAAGAAACAGGATAAGCAAGACATTAGTCTGGGTACAGCTAATTAGTAGTCAAGCACTATCCTCTGCCTAATAGTATAAATGCAAAAGGGACACTGATGCCTGAAAGCCTTGGAGAAAGAGGGCCAAAAGGAAGTTGAGTCCTCATTCCCTGCCCTTTTGCCCCTCCTAGCTTCCTTGAAATGATGGAGGCTCGAAGTCGAGGCCACGCATCCCCTTTGGCAGCCAATGGGCAGACCCCATCATCAGGCTCCCAGTCGCCAGTTGTGCCTCCAAGTGCCGTGTCCACAGGGAGCTCCAGCCCCAGTACACCCCAGCCTGCCTCCCAGCTGTCCCTTGGTGTCTCCTCCCCCTGTCCCTCAGCACCATCTCCCGTACCCCCACTGGAGGCTATGCCCTCCTCTGTACACCCTTCAGCCCCAGCTCCAGCCCAGCGTCGCAGTATCATCTCTCGGCTTTTTGGGACCTCATCAGCTGCAGAAGTGACCCCTTCAACTCCAGGTAGGCCTGGGAGCAGCCCTCTCAAAGATGTAAATTTGGGGCCAGCTTCTGGCATCTTGAGCTTCATGTCCCTCTCTGGAATGTCCCTGTGCCCGTGACAGGCCACATGGACCAGCCACTCCTTGGCCTGGTTCTAAAGCAGCCTGTGACCTGGAGCCAGGGTTCCTGGATTGTCAAGTCCCAGTCCTACAGGCACAGTTTGGGGCTTGCCTAGCACAGGAGCAGGGACCACATAAGGAAGAAACAGCATTTCTCTACAGAGCCAGCTCCAGCTCTAGAGGCCCCAACAAAAGTCCAAAATGTTGAGGATTTTGTCCCTGAAGATGGCCTTGATCGAAGCTTCCTAGAAGACACAACCGTGCCTAAAGACAAGAAGAAAATTGAAGCCAAAGGCCTACAGCAGGATAGTGACAGGTAAGGGTGGATTGGTAGAGCTGAGTGCAGGGTTCACCTCAAGGACCGGCCAGCACAGCTTCCACATCCCATTCATACCTGGATCACCCAAGATGCTGCTGTAGGTTGTGGACTGCAGTCCTCTCTGGTGCTTGCTAGGTTGGTAGTTAATTCTTGAGGACAGAAGCTGAACTGTGGCTACAAGAACTGAGGAGAGGACTGAGGCCATGTTTCAAAGGCCTGCTCAGTCTAATCACTGCCACCCTGGGGTACATAGACAGCTAGCTCACCCTGGAGCAGGGCAGAGTTTATGGCCACAGCAAGCTAGAAGATATTAAGCTGAAATCTTCCTAGGACATCAGGATCCTTGGCAGATAGCCTAACAGGGACAGAGCCACTCTTGAGTACATCCTGGCTCAGCTCAAGTGTATTGAAGTGTATTGACCTGGGTCTTTTCATATAGATCCAGACAAGCAGGCCCTGGCCAGGTCTGCTTTCCTGCGGCTAGCCCTTCCTGTAATCCCCTCTCTTCTAACAATACCCTAAGCCCTGAGGTCATTCCCTCTAGTAGATCAAATGTTGAATGACTTAACATCTCTAGCACTACCATGTTCTATGGAACCAAGGGCTTCCCTTCCAGAAACAAAATTGATTGGAGGCTTCTAACTGGGCTCCTTTCCCAGTGGCTCCCGCATTAGCCAGCAACAAGGCAGTATTTCCCTTCCTCTTCTCAGCAGCCCCTGTGACAGCCCAGAAGCTCTTGTTACTAGAATGTGGTATTGCACACAGCTCCCCTCAGAACTTCTGACTGTCTACCCCCTTTTCTGCAGCGATGCTGGAGATGTCATAGGAGGGAACCCCATGGTGGCAGGTTTCCAGGATGATGTGGATATAGAAGACCAGCCACATGGCAAATCCCTGCTACCTTCAAACCCCATTCCCAGTAAGAACATCAGTCTTTCAAGTGAGGAGGAAGCTGAAGGACCAGCAGGCTACCCCAGAGTAGCTCCTCAGCAATGTTCAGAGCCTGAGATAAAATGGTATGGGATGGGATTCCCAGGGTATGGCCAGCTGAGGTTGTAGCAACCTAGGGTGGCCTCAGAGCTCCTGACATTTCTTCTTATGTGAAGGTCCTCCACCAAGGCCTCACATCCACAAAAGAAGGGAGCTCCCACACGAGCCATACCACCATGGTCAGATGGTCTCACCACTGGCTCAGAGCCTGAACTCAGCAGTATCAAGCCACCCACTGATGGCGCTCCTAGGCCTCAGGAAGGGAAGGACAAACAGGTGTCATCAGAAAGTGATCCTGAGGGGCCCATTGCTGCCCAGATGCTGTCTTTCGTCATGGATGACCCTGACTTTGAAAGTGATGAGTCAGACACACAGAGGAGAATGGTAAGGACAGGCTGCTGGCTGGGAAGCTCAGCTTCCATTCTTCTTGAGATAGAAGACAATCAAAAAGGTCTGTTTGCCAGAGCAAGGTCTGAGGAGAGGCAGGAGAATGTTCCTGGCTCCAGTGCTACACAGGCACAATCCTTTCTTTTTCACTGAAAAAGCCTGAAGCCTTTGGAGAAAGTGGACAAGAGTCCATGGGAGGGGGTACATTGTCCACATGAAGGCCCTACTGGTCTTTCTGAATCTAGGTCAGGTTAAGCCCTCTAGCCCAGCCCCTGGAGTCCCAAGGGGACTTGCCAACCTTGCTTCACTCCCATGCAGTGGTCAGGAACAATAGATCTACCAGCTGCTCTCTTTCCAGGGGCCGTTCCCAATAAGAGAAGACTTCTCTGATATAAGTGATGAGGATACTGGGCCCTCTCAGCCACCCGTGCCCTCCAAGCCAGCAGTCCCTGCTTTCAAACTGAAGAATGATTCAGATCTCTTTGGGCTGGGTCTGGAGGAGACAGGACCCAAGGAAAGCAGTGATGAAGGTAGGAGGGCCTGGAGCTTGTCCCTCTCCTTGATATAATTTGGAGGTCTTCATTCTATGGTACTCCAGTGTTTAAAATTCCTAGCCTGCAGGCCAGGAATCAGACACCTGCACTTGGGAGGCAGAGGCAAACAGATCTCTGTGAGTTTGAGGCTAGCCTAGTCTACAAAATGAATCTAAGACAGCCAAGGCTACACAGAGAAACCCTGTCTTGAAAAACAAACAAACAAACAAACAAAAAATCCTAGCCTGCATATGTTTTCTTTTTCTTTTCTTTCTTTTTTTTTTTTTTTTTTTTTTTACCATAGCTATTGGCTATGAGAGTTTCTAGATTAGAGAAACTCGCTGGCTGGCAAACGTACCCAACCTAACATGTGCGTTATGGTCCAGAATGGCCATCTAAGACTGTCACCCTGTTCATGGTTCCTTATGGGTTCCCACCTCTCCTCCAACTGCTCTACCAACATTCAAAGCTTTTGCATGTCCCAGGCCTTCTGGACAGAACTATTTTGGAAAAATTGAAACCTGCCTAGCAGAAGTACTTAGAGCTGCAGCCCAGGGGCAGACTTGGGCCATCTCAATACCAACCAACAGCGTAGCTTAGGACTGTACTAACGGATTCTCAGACCCAAAGGGAAGAGAAGAAATTTAGTCCTGGGCTTGTTCAAGGCTCACCAGCACAAGAATACATGGAAACCCCTAAATTACCTCTGGGACCTCTGTTGGGGATGGGTTATCTGCAGCAACCTCTGCCTGACCATGCAAAGTGGTTGGGTGTAAGAGCTTAGCTGTGTTTCTTGTGCAGATAAAGACAGCAAACTTCCCTCTAAGGAGAAGAAGAAGAAGAAGAAGAAGAAAGGCAAAGAGGTACATGCCCTGCCCACCACTGACTTCACACCTAGCCTGGGCAGTCTGGGGTCCTGGAAGGTGGGATGTAGCCTTGTGAGTGTCCCATTGACTCTAGTTCTGCTCTTTGTGACTTTCAGGAGGAAGAAAAGGCTACAAAGAAGAAAAGCAAACATAAGAAAAGCAAGGACAAGGAAGAGGGCAAGGAGGATCGGAGAAAGAAAAGGAAGCCTCCTCGGAGCAAGGAGCAGAAGGCTGCAGATGAGCTGGAAGCCTTCTTGGGAGGCGGGGCCCCTGGCAGCCGCCACCTTGGAGGTGGGGACTATGAGGAGCTCTAGGCATGCCAGGGGCAGTTAATTGTCCTGGGAAGAAGGGTACTGCCAGTGGCTGATTGGGAAGGCTGCTGTCTATGCACTCGAATTCCCAGGACCACTCTGCCACCTATGTACCCCAGCCATTGTGTCTGCCCCTGTGTGGTCTGGCCCACTCTACATTAATGTTTGTCCTGGAGACCTTGGGTCAGGCACTGCAGGTGCTGGGCCTCAACCTAGCAGAAGCCTGCTCTGCAGGGAGGGAGGGGACAGAATAAAGTTGCAGCTGGCTTGGTGGATCACCTGGCCCTCCCCAGATAGAGCTGCAGCCAGTCCCCGGTGTTTCTCAGGGATGTGCCTGGGGCCGAGAAGGGACCCACCAGGGTCTGTTTACAGAGGCAGGATGTGGGGTTGCTTGGCTTCTCAAATGTTAACCACCCAGTCCCACTCCTGCTTGCCTTCCTGAGCTCTCCCAGGACCACAGCATGGCTTGGGTTGTGGACCTTCTTCCCCATGGATCCAGAGTAGAGCAGGGTCCTGCCCTGAGCAGATGTGTACTCAGGAGGGCATGGCAGCATCTGCTACTGCAAAGTGGCCCAGGCCCTCCACTGGTTAAGACTGGCAAGAGAACACAATGTACCTCCTCTCCTGTGGGAGAGGCACTGACAGCCTGCCACTGTGTGCCAGCTGCGCCTCTGCCTGTTGAGCGCCTGCGCAGGTGAGCGTAGCGAGCGCTTTCTTAGACACTCCACCCAGACTATAAAACTCTCCGATTTTACTGTGGTGTATGACTGTTTTCTGATTCTCTAAGCTGCTTGAGATGAGTGAGACCAACCAATATATGGGCCAGGTGCTATCAAAGAACCATTTTGGAAAGGTAGCTGGCCCAAAAGGTGGTCTGAGGACTTCGTGCCTAGCCATACCATGTCAGCCAGAGAACCGACCTTGACACAGTTCAGGACTTACCGCACAGGCTGACGAAGAGTACCTTGAGATCTCGTGCCCTAGGAAGACGGTTGTGTCCCACTGTCCTCTGCTTGCGGGAAGTCTCGGGTCACCTGCAAGCTATTATTCCACCCCACTGGCAGCTCTCCACTCTCACCCACTGTGGACACGTTGCCATGAGAACTCTCCAGAGGCAGACAGGCATTTAGGCGGAGCATACTGCTGCGCCTACTGGGGTCCAAGGCTGAGAGCACTTTCTTAGAATTTGTGGAGGAGGGGAGTAAGGTTCCCTTACCCTTCTGATAGGGAGCTGTGCACACAGGACAATTGGTAACTGAGCAGGTGCTTTGGGACAAGCGTTACCTGCCCCTTTGGCTCCTGGCTTTTGGACCCCTGATGTGGAGAACAGTCTTTGGTAAATTAGCCCAGAACTGCACATTGAGCAGTAGCATCAGGATCTTGCCAGATGTAGTGCTCAACAAGGTAGGTATTACTCTCATGTCTGACAACTACCAAGGCCCAGTGCCTCTGGCAAGAGGCAGGCAGGGTAGAACAAGGATGTAGGTTAGGAGCAGACCTCATGAAGACCATATCCAAAGGAAGCAGTCTTAACAGCCCAGGCTATCCTGGACACTGGAGGTTGCAGCTACACTCCAGGCTGAGCAAGCCATCTGGCTCCTGGGTACCTGCCGAGATTTTGGCATCTTCAGAGCCAAAAAGGGCAGTTCCTGAGGAGAGAGCAATGTGGCAGGAACCTGCTCATCTCCCACCTGTGCCCAACGACAGACGTGCATTCTGGAATCTTCCCCAAACCTAGTTTCTCTGCAGCCAAGCCAAGGCTTCTGGATTCATACAGGGCTCTGCCCGGAATCCTTCTAGCAGGCTTTTCTTGGTGGAAGGCACACCTGTTCATACCCAAAGACGTGTGCTCTGGGAATGCTATGCGACTCCTCACTACACAATCCAGCTGAGTGCGAGGGGGACCTGCTTCCGCGGCCCCTTTAAGAGACACTCTATTGATTGCCACTAGAGGCAGCACTGAGCCGCCAGGCCAGGATCAGAGCTGCTGCCTCCAAGCTTCTGCCGGTACCGGGCATGTATGTATGTATGTATATATATTGATATATAGTGGAGGGAGGCACACACCGGAATCGACTTGGGTTATCAAGCCTACCCGGGCTCAGTTCGTGAAGTAGTAACGAGGTAAGGGGCCAAGACCAACGGCCCAGCATGTGGAGCTGTTGGGAAGGGAGGGGGCTGCACGGAAGGATGAGGAGTCCCCGCCCCCAAGCAACGCAGACTTGGTCCTTGCTGATGTCTGCTCCCTCCGGGACAGGCCAAAGCAGGGTTGCTATATGGGAAGGGTCTTCAAAGTACCTAGGATACAAAAGCAAGCCCTACCCCCATCCCATAGGGAGTGGGTGTCACAGCACCCAGCTGACAGCTGCAGTCAGCAAAGCTGTCTGTCACCTTCCTGGGGCGGAGCCTCAGACCCTGTCATCTAGCCCAAACTCTGTCCTGGCTTTGAGTTTAGAATGAAAGGGGTCTGAATAGGGTCAGCATGAACCTGGGCTTGGAACAAGCGTTGATATGTTAGTATCCCTGACTCCAAAAAGCAGGCCCTGTAACAGAAAGCCTGAACTAGATAGAACTACCATCCACCTACAAGTCCTGCCAGGCCCCAACACACTCTCAGCTTATTCTGGAGCAGATGTCCTGGGAGTAGGTGCCTTATGGGGGGTGGGGTTATCACCTTCTGAAAACCTCTTTCTCCAGCCAGCTCCAGACCCTAGGAACCACAGACACTGGTGGCCCATATCTGAACATTAGCCTAGATCCTTTTCAACCCATAGCTCCAAGGATGAACAACCACACATTTCCATGGAGCTTTCCAAAGCCAGAGTGGAAAAGACTCTGTCCTAGGGAGGTGCTTTCCCACCCTCTACCTCCTAGCTGGCAGCCTCTTGGCTTAGTACACCAGCAATAGTTTGCAGCTCAGGGGAAAGACACCATGAGCTTGTGGCTCACATGGGCCCACGTGGTTCTGCAGCCTAAACCTAGCTTTAGGAATGCCAAGCACACACTGGGAGTTGGGGGGTCCATGTGCAATTATGCAGAGGAGAGGCTTGCTCTGCAGCTGTCTCTGCCCCAACAAGTTTGGTGGGTTTTGTTCAAGGAACTGAGGTCTGAGATTTACAGAAAAGGAAGAGGGATTTGAAACCCAAGACCCTTTGGGGTCATTCTGCCTAGGACCTCATCAAGATGAGAAGACTTAGGCTTGGTCAAAAAAGACTGTCCCAAGGGCAAGAGCACTTGCAGTGCTGGGAGAGGAGTTCTCTGCCCAGCTGAGTCAGCAGGCAGGGACCACAGACTTACCTGGGACTTTGCTTTATCAGAGGGGTGGCTCTGTAGTGCTGGTGGGAGAGGGCTATAGTTAGGATATCTAAAAGCGCATCATTCCAACTGTAGTGTTGGAACCACATCCTTTCTTTGATCTACCCAAGCCTACCCAGCCAACTCTAGTATAGGGAGAGAATGCCTAGCAGGTTTTAGCTCAGAAGTTCCCTCTGTGGAGGCCTCCTGGCCCATCTGCCCCATAGGCTACATACTCTGTGAGGTTTCTCCAGCAGGTACTTCAAACATAGACATGGAACAAGCACCAGAAACCTTGACCAAGACCTGCAGCCAGGGCTGCTCCATCCCCTATGCCCCAGGTAAGCCGGACCAGCACGTGGGGTGGGTGGGGTTAAAGGGCTTCAGGTGCAAAGGAGGCTGCCCTGACCGGTATCTCTTCCCAGGGCAAAATCCGCAAAAGGCCAAGTGACTGGAGCTGCCAGCCTTGGCGACGTCTTTTAAGATGACCCGCACAGACCCGCCAGACTTGCTAGTGTCGACCGTGTACCAAGACATCAAGGTGGTGGCTCCAGGGCTCACGTTCAAACAACAGCCATGTGAAACGTCTGTGGACCGGCCTACTGCGCCAGCGCTTTTCAACAAGCGGCACTGTGGTAGTTTTGACTTCTTAGAGGCACTAGACGAGCCTACCATGAAGACACACCCAGAGCCGCCGCCTCCAGAGCCCGCACCACGGCGTGCCCGGCCCAGAAACAGCGAGCCTCGGCGCCGCACTCGTTCCAAGAGTGCGCCCCGTGTGCCCCAAGGTCTGGCTCCCGCTCCGGCTTCACCGCGGGTACTGCAGCGCAGAGGCCTAGAAGGCCAGCGTGCTGTGCGAGGGGAGGGGTCGCCCTCCTACCCTGCGCTGCGAGCTCTCGCCAATGAGCTGCACCCCATCAAGCTCCAGCCACAGCGGGGTGGCCCGGGACGCATTGCGCCTCTGTGCTCCACCCCAGGCCGCTGTGCACCACCCGAACCACCCGCTGGATCCGTCCCCCACGTCCGCTGCCGTTTGGACATCAAGCCAGACGAGGCAGTGCTGCAGCATGCCGCCAGAAGTTCGCGATCTTGCCCTCCTAGTGAAACGGCGCACTGGACTCGCACTGCCCCACAGTTCCATGGCCTCACAGTTCCCGGGCCCAGGCACGCGGCCCTGTCACGCACGCCCACCCCCAGTGACTTGTACTGTACTGACCCTAGAACACTGTACTGCGACGGACCACTGCCTGAGCTTCAGGACTACTTGGAGCACCGAAGTCAACCTTTCACAACACCTCCAGGTCCCACTCAATTTTTCTACACTGAGGAGCCTGAGGGCTACGCAGGCAGCTTTACCACAAACTCTCGCCTTCCCTTTGATGGCTATTGTTCCAGGCCCTACTTCTCCGAAGAACTCCCCAGACCCAGTCCGAGGCGTGTGGGTAGTTACTATGCAGGAGAAGTTCGCACCTTCCCGATCCAAGAGCCCCCCTCCCGCTCCTACTATGGGGGGACACCTCGAGGCTACGGTGTGCCTTTCGTTCCCCGGTATGTCCCAGAAGAATCCCGAGCACACCCCAGCACCCGCGCCTTCTACACAGAGGACTTTGGGAGGTACCGTGAACGCAATGCACTGGCTCAGACATACCCGCACCCACGCAGCAGCCCGGCCTGGGCTGACTGGGGTCCTAGGCCTTACCGCACCCTTCAGGTGGCGCCTCCCCCCAACTCTGGACCACTGTTGGCCTCGTGGCACGGTGGCAGCGGCACAAGCCCACCCCGGCTGGCCACGGATAGCCGCCATTACTCTCGATCCTGGGATAACATCCTGGTTCCTGGTCCTCGTCATGAAGACCCTCTAGGACGCGGCCGCAGCTATGAGAACCTGCTGGGACGTGAGGTTCGGGGTACACGGGGTTCATCCCCTGAAGGCAGGCGTCCACCAGTTGTAGTGAATCTGTCCACCTCACCCAGACGCTATGCAGCACTGTCGTTGTCAGAGACATCACTGACAGAGAAGGGCCGAGCAGGGGAGAGCCTGGGCCGCAACTGGTACGTCACCCCAGAGATTACCATCACAGACAACGACCTTCGCTCTGTTGAGCGCCCAACTGCCAAGGACTGGGAATTGTCTGGAGGCCGACCCCAACAGCCTGCTCCCATGGTCCCTGAAGGCCCTGCCGCCAGCCGCCAGCGCAGCCTTGAACAGCTGGACGAGCTCATCACCGACCTGGTCATCGACTCACGGTCACCGGGCCAGGACCCGGAGCCTGCCACTGACGGTTTAGGCCACCAACTGCGCAGCCTGCTGGACTCAAGGCCCGCAGGCCCTGGAGAAGCCAATGCGCTGGCGCCGCTGCGCTCCCCACCGGCCTCTGCGGGCAGCACCGAAGAGCCTGCTGGCTCGGGGGAGGCAGCTGCCGTTTCCCCTGAGCCCAGTGCAGATGAGGATGATTTAATGACCTGTTCCAACGCGCGCTGCCGGCGGACAGAGACCATGTTCAATGCTTGTCTCTACTTCAAATCGTGTCACAGCTGCTATACCTACTACTGCTCGCGTCTGTGCCGCCGAGAAGACTGGGATGCCCACAAAGCGCGTTGCGTGTATGGCCGCGTGGGAAGTGTGTGCCGCCATGTGCTGCAGTTCTGCCGCGACAGCAGCCCAGTGCATCGCGCCTTCTCCCGCATAGCACGCGTCGGATTCCTGTCGCGCGGCCGTGGCGTGCTGTTCTTGGGCTTTCCAAGCCCGGGCTCTGCCGACAACTTCCTGCGCTTCGGCCTCGAAGGGCTGCTGCTTTCACCCACCTATCTGTCGCTGCGCGAGCTGGCTACACATGCGGCGCCCCTGGGTAGCTATGCACGAGAGCTGGCGGCTGCAGGGAGGCTCTATGAGCCAGCGGAGTGCTTCCTGCTTAGCGTGTCCGTGGCCGTGGGCCCTGGCGCTGCATCCCCCGGAGCCCCTGCCCGGCCTGCACCCCGCAGCCCTGGGCCCACCGTGCGCAAGTTCGCCAAGGTGGCCCTGGCCGCTGGCAGCCCGACACGTCCTCCCCCTGCGCGTGGCAGAGAACCAGATATGGAAACGCTGATCCTGACGCCACCTCCAGGCACTGCAGGCTTGGACCAAGAGGGTGAGGCTGGCCGGCGCGCCCGTGAAGTGGCCTTCATCCACATCCAGCGTGAGCTGCGACTCCGCGGCGTCTTCCTCCGCCACGAGTTCCCACGTGTCTATGAGCAGCTCTGCGAGTTCGTAGAGGCTAACCGGCGCTTCACGCCCACCACCATCTATCCCACAGATCGGCGCACTGGCCGCCCCTTCATGTGCATGATCATGGCTGCTTCTGAGCCGCGTGCACTGGACTGGGTAGCCAGCGCCAACCTGCTGGATGACATCATGTGAGCCATGGGATCATTAGTCCCTGACCCAGAGTCCTGCCTTCTCTACTCAGGCCCTGCTCCAGATCTCAGACCGTCCCCAAAGTCTGGACCAGCTGGTTCAGCGCTCATAACCCCCCCCCCCTCCCATCTTCTCCAAATTCTCTGCTCTCCACCCATTCTGTACCTCTAACTTTGCCTGGGAGACTCTGCCCCCTCTGTCCCATTTCCTACCAGCTGCTTCTCCTCCTCTTCTCAGCCGACTACCCAGATTCCACATCCTGGGCTTTCCCCAAGTTAGCCATGGAGGCGGGGGCTCCCCATGAGCCTGGTCCTCGCCCTCGGTGCTCCCCACTGGGAGGTGGGGTGGGACTGAGGACCGCTGGGCTCTGCCTTCTAGTGGAAAAATTACTACTACATGCTTCCTATGGGGACAATAGTTGATGTAGGTGAGGGTGCTTGCTATAGTTCTCCAACCTTAAATCCCTTTCCTCCTAGTCCAGAAGTTCAAAGCCTAATGCCCTTACTTTAAAAACTCCTGCTAACCCTCCTCCTGTGTCTAGGGTGTGTCAGGCTCATATGTCTAGTCCCTATGCACCCCTATGCTATCGAGGCAGTGGATATTTCACCTTAGTCTGGGCCCTTGCAGCACCAGGTAGAATAGTGCTGAGTCTTCAGGCCAAGGCCCAATCCACCCAGCCAGAGGGGAACCTGAGCAGGGAAAGCAGAGTGTGGGTGCTGAGCAAGCCAGAGTTAAGACATGGCTGGGTGAGGATTTGAGCTCCCCACCACCTATCCAACAAGATGGCCCTAAAACCCACCTTCCAGAGAAGATGGAAACCCAGAGAGGTGGGTAGTGTGTGCTGATGAATTAGCAGGGGATCCTACAGAGAGCAGCACCTACCTGCTAAATGACTCGGGAACAAATAAGGTACAGGGACTACCCCTAATTAGGAACTGGTTGGGGAAAGGTGTAGAGTTGTGAGTCACCAGGTCTAGGGATGGTTTGGGAGGCCTACCCTGAGTCTGATTCTGTGCACAAAAGAGCTGCATACTAGCCCTGGGTACGCTTCAAGCTGAGATAGAAGCCGAAGCCTGACGTGTTGTGGAGAGCATGGTCCTAGGCAGTCCTAGGCCTCTTGCAGGGATCCCTGCAACCTAAGTGCACCTGGATCCACGCTTAGAACTTCGTGGAAGGCATGACCCAGAGAGGGCTTGAGATCAGAAGTGAGCAAGCCCTCTCCAGAAGCCCCAAGCCCCTTTGGAGCTAGGGGAGATCAAGTATGAGAACCTAAGACACACCCCTGTGCTCGAGGATGAGCACAAGCACACTGCCCTCTGCTGCATATCCTCCAGCCCTCTCTCCTTGGCCGGTGTCTTACCACCTGCCCTGATGCCGCTCTTGCAACCCTTGCTGCCCCCTCGCCTGCCGGCCTCCCCAGGGGCTCCACATTCCTTCCTGTGGCAGGCCGGCAAGAATGCCCCTGGCAAGAACTTGCCCATTTCCCTAGGGCGAGTGCTTTCGAACCAAGTAAAATACAACTTGAATGTAGTCGCTGCTAACTCTGTGGTGGTAGTGATGGGGTGGGGAACGTTGGGTAGAAGCTTTCGGTAGTAGGGGCTTGGCAACAGAAAACCTTGGACGTGAGAAGATTGTGGAAGGGGAGGCCAGAGGGCGTAAAGGGGTTGGGCAGGGGAGGGCCTGCGGGTGTTGGGGAAGAGAGGGCTTCGAATTTATAGTGTATGGGTTGAAGCCCTAGGACCTAGGAATGGAGCCTGGGTACCTTCTCGCATCCTCTTTCGCTGCCCTACCTCCAATGGCTTGACTTACATCAACTCGGATTTCCCTGTTCCTCGGCTCCCTTAACTGGGACTCGTGATCCCACAGCTGCAAAGAACCGGGTTGCAATTGGCTAGTCCACGCCTCAGGTTGGAGGTACAACTGGCTGAGGTTCTGGGCCTCGGGAAGCATCCCCTCACGGGATTGGCCGCGACTACCAAGGGGCCCGCCTCCCGCACGCATAGGCCTCAGTGGAGTTGGGAAAAGGGCTGTGGAGCCCAGAGGTCGAGCGCTTTGAGAAACATGGCGGCGGACCTTGCTCATATTCCTGATGTGGACATCGATTCAGATGGCGTCTTCAAGTACGTGCTGATTCGAGTCCGCTTAACACCGCCTTCCGGTGATCCGACAAACGAGTGCAAGGAAATCGTGCGTGGCTACAAATGGGCTGAGTACCACGGTGAGGGCGGGGCCTCTGCGTCTGTGGGGGCGGAACGAAGGCTGGGGGCGGGGCCTGAGCCTAGCAGTTGCTAGTGACAGGCAGGGCTGTGAGTGCTAATGTACCGTACCTTGTACTAACACCTACCCAGGCTGACCTAGAAAAGAGGTTTAGGCAGAAAGGAGTGTCGCGATCGGGCTTTTTAAAATCCCCTGTCCCACTTCGAAAATACCATCTTCCTCCCCTTCATCTTTGTACCCGTGGGGAAAGGGCTCACGTCCACTGGGAAAAAGACCACTAAGACCTGGAGCTTCTGACCCCATAACCAGCCCTAGAGTCTATAATGAGGCCAACAAGGGCGACTAGGGCACTGAGGCCACTCTCCCCATCCCAGCGGACATCTATGACAAAGTGTCAAGCGAGCTGCAAAAGAAAGGCTATGACTGTGAGTGCCTCGGCGGCGGTCGCATCTCCCATCAGAGCCAGGACAGGAAGATACACGTGTATGGCTACTCTATGGTGAGCTCCAGTCCCCAGGTCTCAGTCCAGACTGCAGAGCTCACCCTTGTGAACGTGACCCCCTGACCTGCCACTCAGGCCACCTCTGGGACTCTGAAAGTTGGAGACACAGAGAACCCTGACTTAAGGGATCTGGCTTAAGGGATCTCCACATTTCCCATAGGGTGGTTAGAAGCCAGCTGTCTTGGGCCGCACCCCCTTTTGCCTTGATAGTTCTGTGTGCTGGCTCTTTGGGGGTCCTTGGGGCAGTCAGGGCTGGAGTGAGACTCACAGCCCTGACCATCAACATCTCTTTTCATAAAGACCACCCTGCATAGAGCCATTCAGCCACCATCCTGTTTCCAGCATGGTTAGGATGGTTGAGTTTGGTTACTCTCCCTGTGCATGCTATTCCTGTGGCTTCTGGGTGGACTTCCAAAGCAAAAGACTAGCAGACTAGTGGTCATCTTCTCTCTAGGGTTATGGTCGTGCCCAGCACTCTGTTTCAACGGAGAAGATCAAAGCCAAGTACCCTGAATATGAGGTCACCTGGGCTGATGATGGCTACTGAGGCCCTGACCCCCAGCAACTAACTCAGGACTCTGCTCTTGCTTTGTTCTATCTTGAGGGGCTGGCCCTGTGCTTTCCTTTTGTACCTTGGGCAACATACCACCTGCCAGGCCTTAGAAGCCAGACCAACGTGGTCCATAGGAATTAAAACCATTGATATGTCTGCAAGTCCCTGACTTGTGTCTTGGCTTCTCTACCTTTGGGTTGCCACTAAAAATACCTACTCAGCTTTAGGGGCCCCTGGAGGCTATTGGTGCATACTCAGCCCCTTAAGTTCAGATAAGGGGCCCCTACATTGCTGTCATTTATGGCCTGATTGCCCCTCCATGAAGCTGCTATCCCCAAGGACATCTGGAAGGAGGCCTCACAAGGCCTTGCACAAGAAGTCAGTTCTTGGCTACCCATGGCTTGGGGTGGCCACAAGTGGTGCCTTCCATTCAGGAGTTCATTCAGGAGTCCCAGCAGGAAAGGGTCCTGGCAACCACTCTCCTGGCCAGCTGACAGGCTGCATTGTTCATCTGTTCTCAGTCTAAGCCTGACACCGTGTGTGAGCACAGGGAACATTCATGATGTGATCCACAACCCTTAGGATCCTGCAGTTGCACACTAACTGCCTGTGTCTCATCACTTGGGACTTATGACATCAGACGGTTCTTAGTCCCTGGACCATTCACCCTCTCAGCCTGTGTCTGTAGTAATCCCACCTCACTGTACAGGACAGTGGGTAGGGACCAGCTTAACCCCTGCTCTAAAAAGTCCCATGCACCATGTGCCATTATAGTGGGTACTAAAAAGCCAAGGCTGGGGCATCCCTTACCATACTTGGGCCAGCCTTTGTCAACTTGGTAGACTACAAGCAGACACTACTGAGATACCCTGTATAGGCCAGCAGACAGGCACAGATGAGACAAGCCCCAAAGTTACACTGAGATAAGTCATAGGCCAAGCCTACGTCCATGTGACAAGCTCTTCAAAATCCTGACATTCCTCCTGCTTCAACTGTGGGTCTTTTCCTAGGAAATGAGTTTGTGGGATCAAGACTTTTCCTATCACTGACCACCCAGAACATGGCTTCTCAGAAAATTTTTTGTTTTGTTTTGCATTTTGAGACAGGGTTTCTCAGTGTAACTAGACCAGGCTAGCCTCAAGCTCACAGAGTCCACATGCCTCTACCTCCTGAGTGCTAGGTTTAAAGGTACTGTACTTGGGACAGTTTTTAAAGATGAAGAGAGAGCTAAAGATGGAGCTCAGTTTGTTAGATGCTTTCCTGGTACACATGGAATTCCCATGTTCAATCTAAAGTACCACATAAACTATGTGTTGCTAATAATCCCAGCACTTGGGAGGTAGAGGCAAGAGGATTAGAAGTTATCCCCAGCTACATAGCAAGTTCAGGCCAACCTGGGCCATGTGAGACCCTGTCTCAAAACATATATACACTGGCATGCCCTGGTCCACAGAGGCAGGCTGTTGACACTGGACTTGCCCTGATCTGATCCCCTAAGCACAATGCAGAGAACCTTGTGAACATATGTATGTACAGCCACTGAGCAGACTGCCCTGACACCCTTGGCGTGCACCATGATGGGCTATAGGTCCCACAAGAAAATCTTAGAGCCTTGCACATGGGGTTCCCAGCCTTTCCACATTCCAGTAGAAACTTCCAGTGGGAAGGGCAGGGCAGGGCTGGGTGGATGCATAGGATGGCCAAGACCTGAACTTTGGTCGGAAAGAGCCAAGTAGGGGCCCTCGTTCCAGGATACTTTACAGCTGGACTCTTACACCTGGCATCATTGGGTGGGACCCAGCCAAGGGGATTCAGGTATAAAGGAGCTGAGTCCTCTCTGGTGAGAGCTAAATCAACCTGTGAGGCCCCTGTGGACTGATGACTGAGAAGTCTCCTCTAGGCTACACTATACTGGGACATCCTCCCTCCAGCTTGGCCATGTATCTGCCTCGCTGCCTCCTTTCAACCTTGGTGCTGTTTATGGGTGAGTAAACTGCTGCGTGGGTGCCAGTTGGTGTCATGGAGATACAGGAACTTGTTAAGAAGTGAGTTTCCACAATGGTGATATCCAGGACAAGCCAACAAGGCTGGAGATTGCTCACCTAAATCTTATATCCATGACCTAGAAAGAGCCCACAGGACATCACAGGCAGTCATCTATTGACCTGAGCCTTTGCCTGCCACTCCCATTGTAGAACATGTGGAAGTCCACTTCCATTAATGTGTCCTCTGTGTGTGTGTGTGTGTGTGTGTTTGTTTGTTTGTCTGTTTGTTTGTTTGTTTGTTTGTTTCAAAACAAGGTTTCTTTGTGTAGCTGTCTTTGGCTGTCCTGGAACTAGTTCTGTAAACCAGGCTAACTTCAAACTCAGAGATCTGCCTGCCTCTGTCTTCTGAGTGCTGTGACTGTGTGAGCCACCAATGCCTAGCTCAGTTTGTCTTTCTATGGGGGAGACCCTACTGGAAGATCTTCCAGTTCCTAGCCATGTGGACTCCTGTGCTTTCCATATGTGTTTCTTGTCAAGGCTATTTTTCCTCTCCCTGGTATGCAGAGCCTCTGTGAGGCTAGGGAGGTGGGAAGGCATTTTGTTTGTGCAGAGCCCCAGTGGCAGTTCTTGGTAGATGCCAGTTTCCTCTGTATGATTTTATAGGGCTGAGCCCTGAAGTCAGTTGATTAATACCCTGGCCTGTTCAGGTCTGGGTTTCTCTGGACATATATAATTTATATTGTTCAAAACAGCCAGAGCTAGCAAGATGGCTCAGAAGGTAAAGGCATTTGCTGCCAAGCCTAATGGCATTTGTTCAATTCCTGGTTCCCACATGGTAGAAAGAAATAAATGATTCCTATCTCAGTTGTTCTTTGACCTCTACACCTATTATATAGCATATATATGTATACAAATATATAGCTATATATGTTTTAAAAATGAAAACAATCACCTTGCCCTCTGTTCCCTTGCCTATTACTCTGCCAGCTTCACAGTCCCTAGGCAAGACCTGGGTCCCCAGCCACTGCAGAAGCTCCATCGAAGCTGTATGCAACTTTGTGTGTGACTGTGGAGACTGTTCAGATGAGGCCCAGTGTGGTGAGCTGGTCAGGTGGGAGTGGCAGGGAGTGGCAGTGTAAAGGCTGACCTCTGATGACCCATTCTCATAGGCTTCCACAGTGCTTCAACTACCCCAAGCACCCTCTTCACCTGCAACTTTGAGCAGGACCCCTGTGGCTGGCAGGACATCAGCACCTCGGGCTATCAATGGCTTCGAGACCGGGCAGGGGCACTGCTGGATAGACCTGGACCTCATTCTGACCATACACATGGCACTGATTTGGGTAAGGCCTGGGGAACCCATGTGCATTCACCCTCTCCCACCACCCTCCTGCCTTGGTTTCTTGTCTGGCCTCCTAACCTTTCCCCCTGTGCCAGGCTGGTACATGGCTGTGAGAACCCACCATGGGAAAGAGGCATCCACTGCGACTCTGCGCTCCCCTGTCATGCGTGAGGCAGCCTCTACCTGTGAATTGAGGCTCTGGTTCCACACAGCCTCTAGAGGTAATATGCTCTGGATCCCTGAGGCCCAAGGCCAAGTAGCTTTGGGGAAAGGCTGGATGAGGAAAGGAGTGGCTACAGAAACAGGAGGATGCTCCAAAATGAGGGCCAGGGTATAGCTGGTAGACTGGAGGGAGACACCAAGGGGCTGAAAATGCCCCAGGACCACTCAAAACACTACAGATGTTGCCAGACTGCGGCTGGAGCTGACCCATGGTGTGGAGACACTGACCCTGTGGCAGAGCTCAGGACCCTGGGAGCCTGGCTGGCAGGAGCTGGCAGTGAATACAGGCCGTGTGCAGGGTGACTTCAAAGTAAGCTGGGCCAGGCTGGGAACAGTGAGGAGGGCTAGCCACTGACCTAGGTCATAAAGACCCTTTCTCCCTCCAGGTGATGTTTTCTGCCACCCGAAATGCCACACACAGGGGTGCTGTGGCCTTGGATGATATGGAGTTTCGGGACTGTGGACTTCCCAGTAAGGCTGCATACCATCCTGTCCAAAGCTGGGAGACCCCCTCACCACCCACCGCCCTGAACAGCCTCTTTCCAGAATGCCACAAATCCCGGGGCCAAAGAGAATGTTAACTATATCCCACTGCAGTTCCTCAGGCCAGCTGCCCCCTAGGGCACCACCACTGCCAGAACAAGGCTTGTGTGCAGCCCCACCAGCTGTGTGATGGTGAAGACAACTGTGGGGACAGATCTGATGAAGACCCGCTCATCTGCAGTGAGGCTGGGGCCATCTAGGGCCGGGCAGAGTGAGGGACCACAGAAGGAAACTGGGAAGCTGGACCTTGACCTCTGAGTCCTTCAGAGAATACTGGGGCTAGTCCAGGAAGGTGGACATTGGCGTAGTCATTCTGGGTTGGATAGTCAGTGTGCCCAGGGCCATCTGACTGTAGAAAGCTGTGGTCAGTGGTCCTAATAGTCCCCAATTCCCACTCTTTAGGCCACCACATGGTCACTGACTTTGAGACAGGTCTGGGACCATGGAACCAGTTGGAGGGCTGGACCCGGAACCACAGTGCTGGCAGCATAGTGAGCCCTGCGTGGCCCCACAGAGATCACAGCCGGAATAGTGCATATGGTGAGGTCTCCAAGGGACCCTGGCCATGGCCTTTTCCACCCATCTACCTCCTGAAGTGGAAGTTTCTGGTTTCTTTGGAAACTCAGTTGTGTCATGTGAATTATGTTGTTGTTTTGTGGCTCCAAGTGTGGGACAACCTCCAATGACCCTGTACCACACTTGCCCTCTCTCATAGGCTTCTTCCTGGTCTCTATGGCCAAACCTGGCACCACTGCTATCCTCTCCAGCCCGGAATTCCAAGCCTCAGTCCCCTACAACTGCTCGGTGAGATGGGTGTGTGAGAAAATAAGATAGACAGGGTTGCCCTTCTCTAGATGCCAGAGGTCCCTGACAGCCTGAGATTTCTTCTGTTCCAGCTTACCTTCTATTACTACCTACATGGCTCTGAGGCTAGCCACTTCGAGCTGTTTCTACAGGCACTGGGGCTCAACACTTCCCAGGCTCCCGCCCTGCTGCGGAGCCGCCATGGAGAGCTGGGGACCACCTGGGTCAAAGACCGGGTTGACATTCAAAGTGCCCATCCATTCCGGGTGAGACTAGCCAGGTGGTGACTGGGATGTGGGGGTAGGATCCAGGAAATCCTGCCTAGAGCATGTACAGAACACTGAAGGGCTTTACTCTTGAAGGCTGCTCCACGGGAAAGGTTAAGAAATTATAAAATACAACAATAAACAGGTAGAGGGTACCAGAAAGAAGACAGGATAGAATAGTGCTTGATGCTTGCTGAGCCCTCCCTACCCTCAGATCCTTCTAGTTGGGGAGACTGGTCCAGGAGGCATCATGGGCCTAGATGACCTCATCATGTCCAACCACTGCAGATTTGTCTCAGGTGATTTGTCCAGGGCCCTCCCCTGGCCTGCCCAGGAAAAGAAAGGCCCTCACCCACTCTAACCTGATCTCAATTCTGTTCTAGATGTGTCCACCCTACAGTCATCACTTTCTGGACCTAAGGCATTAGCCCTCTATCCCCAGACATCCATCCAGCTGCCCCAGGGAACCTGTGAACCAGGACATCTCTCCTGTGGTGAATTGTGTGTGCCCCCAGAGCAGCTGTGTGATTTCCAGCAGCACTGTGCAGAGGGCGAGGATGAACAGAAGTGTGGTGAGGCCAGCCAGCCTGCCTGGGGTCAGTGTCTGGAGGGTGCCTAGGCAGGCCAGAGGACTCTGGGCTTTGCTGCCTTCCAGAGAAGACTACTGTTGTTGCAGGCACCACAGACTTTGAGTCCGTCTCTGCTGGGGGCTGGGAGGACATCAGTGTGGGAAAGCTGCAGTGGCAATGGGTGGAAGCCCAGGAGAGCAGGAAGCCTGCCAGGGACGCCAACCGGGATGCTCACGGTGAGGTCTACACTTCCCCACAAGAGCCCCTCCTCAGAAAGTCTGTAAGTTAGGGGTATCTGAGCAGTGAAAGGGTACTTTGTTCTTCCTATAGGGCACTTCCTGTCTCTGCAGAAAGCCTGGGGGCAGCTACGATCTGAGGCCCGAGCTCTCACACCTGCCCTAGGCCCCTCTGGCCCTCACTGTGAACTCCACATGGCTTACTATTTTTACAGTCAACCCCAAGGTACTCCATGCCTCCTGTCCCCAGGCCCAGTCCCCAGAAGCCCCCTGCATGGTAGATAGGGTCTGAGGGTGACCTACCCATATTAACTCCCTTGATAAGGCTTCTTGGCACTGGTCGTGGTAGAGAAAGGCTTGCGGGAACTGCTGTGGCAGGCCCCGAGCAGCAGCAGCCAGGGCTGGACAGTAGAGAAGGTTCTTCTTGGGGCACGCCACCGACCATTCCAGGTGAGGATGGCAGTTCTGGATGGGGAGTCTACTGAGCTAGCCCATAACTGACAGTCTTTTTCCTCTATGTGCTTAAAGCTGGAGTTTGTCAGTCTGGTGGACTTGGATGACCCTGGCCAGCCAGGGGCTGGGGTGGATAATGTGACCTTGAGCAACTGCAACCCCAATGTGACCACTGAGAGTGACCAAGGTTTCTCCTGCCCAGCTCCCATCTCCACCCAAGGGCCTACTACCTAGTTTACCTCTAATCCTCTTCTTATCACAGCTAGGAAGGGGGCAGGGAGTAGTGCTGACCCCACCCCACCCCACCTCCAGAGGTCTCCTGTAACTTTGAACGGCACTCATGCAGCTGGCACACAGGCCACTTCACAGATGCACACTGGCACCGTGTAAAAAGCCATGGCTCGAAGTATGACCACACCACTGGCCAAGGTAGGGGAGTTCCCAGACCTGAGGCCTGGGAGGGAAGCTCAAACTGAGAATATTTCTATACTGTTTTTCATTCCCCAAAGGCTTTTTCATGTTCCTGGATCCCACGGACCCACCTGCTCGAGGCCAAGGTGCCCTCTTGCTTACAAGACCCCAGGTGTCAGTTGTCCCCAAGGAATGTCTCAGCTTCTGGTACCACCTGTATGGGCCCCAAATTGGTGAGAGCCTCGGGGCTGTCAGAGCCTCTGTGGATGATTTTGCTGCTATTGCAGCCTGGAGCACCAGGTTTTGGGGGGTTCCCCTCCAAATTCTGCTTCTCTGTAGGGACTCTGCGCCTGGCCATGAGGAAGAATGGTGAGGAAGACATACTACTGTGGTCCCGGTCTGGCACACATGGCAACCGCTGGCACCAGGCTTGGGTCACTCTTCACCACCAGCCAGAGGCCAGCACCAAGCACCAGGTGAGGGTGAGTGTCACACTTGGTAAGATGGTATAGAGCTGGCCCCCACAGTTACCACTCTCCACTCTCAGCTGCTGTTTGAAGGCCTCCGGGATGGCTACCATGGCACTATGGCCCTGGATGACGTGACTGTGCGGCCTGGCCCCTGCTGGGCCCCTAGGAGCTGTTCCTTTGAAGACTCTGACTGTGGCTTTTCCCTGGGAGGCTCAGGGCTGTGGATACGCCAGAATAATGCCTCAGGCCTTGCTCCTTGGGGTCCTTGGGCAGACCATACAACAGAGACAGCCCAAGGTACTTGGTCTGGCTGGGGTGGGAGATGAGGGGACAGAGGGCTAGACAGACCAAGGCAAGCAGGCACAGGACCCTCTTCCCGCCAGGGTACTACATGATGGTGAACACCAGCCCAGATGTCCTGGCCAAGGGTCATGTGGCCTCTCTGACCTCAGAGGAACACCAGCCCGTGCCCCGGCCAGCCTGCTTGACCTTCTGGTACCACTTGAGCTTCCACAATCCAGGTGAGAGGCTCCAACAAAGGGAAGGGCCCCTGTCCAGGACTGGGGAGCCACCAAGGCAGCTAACCTGGCTGGCTCTTGGTGTGTAGGCACCCTGAGGGTCCACGTGGAACAGAGCACAAGACGCCAAGAGCTCAGTATCAGTGACCATGGTGGATTTGCCTGGCGCCTGGGTAGTGTGAATGTGGAGGCTGAGCAGGCCTGGAGGGTGAGTGCATAGGTGGGAAAGGAAAAACTTCATCTCAAGGGTTGCCAAAAGCAGCCTGCAGGATCTGTGGCTCTGTACCCTATAGGTAGTGTTTGAGGCTGTGGCTGCAGGTGTGGAGCATTCCTATATGGCTCTGGATGACATTTTCCTCCAAGAAGGGCCCTGTACTCAGCCAGGTGGGCAGTTTCCTGTGGCTGGAGTAGTACCATTATCTATGCCAAAACCAACTCTCCAACTTCTACCCACCCACCTCTGCCCAGGAGCTCATGGGGGGTGGGGGGCAGCTCTGCTCACCTGCCAATTCCTTGCAGGGTCCTGTGACTTTGAATCTGGTCTGTGTGGATGGAGCCACCTTGTGTGGCCTAGCCTGGGTGGATACAGCTGGGACTGGAGCAGTGGAGCCACCCCATCCCGCTACCCCAAGCCCACAGTGGACCATACCCTGGGCACAGAGGCAGGTATGCACTGGCTGGAGCCAGGGCCTGTGTTGGCACTACCTCACAAAATGGGGCTGTGCTCACCCAACTTCCCTCAAGTTAGTGATCCAGATATATCCCATCATCTCATTTCCAGGCCACTTTGCTTTCTTTGAAACCAGCATGCTAGGTCCTGGGGGCCAGGCAGCCTGGTTGCGCAGTGAGCCACTGCCAGCAACTACAGCCTCTTGTCTCCACTTCTGGTACTTCATGGGCTTTCCTGAGCATTTCTGTAAGTGGCTGGGCCCTGGGTGTAGGGGAGCAGGGGCTCAGGTGAAGCACAGAGGCATCTCCTAGGAACCTAAGCCAGACCTGCCTTGGACTCTGCAGACAAGGGTGAGCTAAAAGTGCTCCTGAGCAGTACCCAAGGCCAGCTAGCTGTGTGGAGCCAGGGCGGGCACCAGAGGTACCAGTGGCTTCAAGTCCAGATCGAAGTGTCCAGCTCTGAAGAGTTCCAGGTGAGCCCCCACCCAGGTGAACTGTCCTCTTTCCCCTCTCTTCTGTCCCTCTGGGTATTCAAAGACTTTCCCTTCCCTATCAGATTGTTTTTGAAGCCACTCTGGGTAGCCAGCCGGCTCTGGGGCCCATTGCCCTTGATGATGTGGAGTACTTGGCAGGGCAACACTGCAAGCAGCCTGCACTTAGCCAGGGTAAGCACTGGACTTCAGGATGGACAGATTTGCCCTGACCCTGCCAGGCTTAGGTGGTCCAGGTGGCTTGAGGCAACTGCACTTTAGCTTTTGGACTGAAGGTGTGAGAACAGATCTGGGGCTGCCACACTGGATCAGGGGTCTAATGAAGTGATGGTGCCTAGCTCAGAAAACCAGCTGAACCAAGACTGGGTGCTGCTCTCTCCCCAAGATGCCTCATGGGCTGTACTGGCTTTTACTGTCTCCTCCTGGGCAAGAACTATCCTGAAGGAGCTGCCAGGTTGAGCCAGAGACCACATGGGTTTGACAGTCACTGGCTGCCATCATGCTGGGAGGAAGAGGTGGAGCCTGCAGCCAATAAGCAGTGAAGGGGCCAGGCAGCCCCTGCCAGTATTGCTGGAAACAGAACCCTGACACAAGGCCTGGGAGCTGTGGAGGGCTCAAGTGCCCTCTGTCCTCAGGTGAAATGGATGCATACGTGTCTGTGCCGGCTGCTGTTGGAGGGGCCCTCCTCTTTTTCATGTTCCTGGTACTCCTGGGCCTTGGGGGTTGGTACTGGCTGCAGAAGCAACACTGCCCCTTCCAGAGGAGTACAGACACAACAACATCTGGCTTTGACAACATCCTCTTCAATGAGGTAGAAGCCCCCAAATGGGGCAAATGGGAGATTATGCCACCTCTGTGCTTAATGGCAAGAAAGCAAGCAGTGGTGGGCCAGGACTTGGGAAGAGGCACCTTGCCCAACCCTGTTCAGGTCCAGAGTGTCTTTCAACAACAGTTGTCCCATATTCCTTCCTTCTTTCTAGGATCAAGTTACCCTTCCAGAATCCACCACTAGCAACCCATAGTCAACCCCAGACAAGGCCTGGCTCCTCATGCTAACTCCCACAGCATCCAGACCTCACAGACACCTGACCTCTATCCGGGCCTGATAAAGGGATTGAGTCATGCTTTGCTTCTACAGCTCTTCCATCTGTTGTCTTTGCCCTCTGCTATGATCAAGAAGAGTGTGTATATGTGGGTGGGGTCTTTGTACTATAAATAAATGCTCCACAACAGTGAGGGCAACCCAGGCTTACTCCCTATATTCTGTACCTGTCAGGATATGCTGTAGCTGGCAGGTGGATGGCCCTTCTGGGGTTTAAGACTTAACCTGAGACAGAATTCAGGGAATGGGTATGGGTTCCCTCTCATTGGCTTTAGTGCAGTTTAAAAATTATAGGGCCCAAAGGACCCACCAACCCAGCCAGGAAGGAATGGGCTCAGCTCCCAACTTACCAAATGATACTATACCCAATGAGGATAGAATCACTCCACAGATGAAGAGAGCTGTGAGTATAAAAGCAACTGGACATGGGGCTATGAAACTGGTCTGGTAAGGAGATATGCCACCAGCCCAGATAAAGGCCGAACCCCTGTGGCTGGAGGTAGTGAGGCTGAGGTCACTGGGTATGCCATCACCACCAGAGCAGGCTACCACACAAGGCAACTGTACTTTAGCCTTTGAACTGAAGGTGTGAGAACAGATCTGGGGCTGCCACACTGGACCAGGGCCTAATGAAGTGACAGTGACACATCTGTTCTAGGAGTGGTTCCTGAAGCTCTGGTCCTCCACATTATGCCTCAGCTGTGGCTTCACAGAGGACTGAGGGCCCAGAGGGCTGTCCTCAGGGAGGAGAGCAGTCAGGTGTTCTTCCTACCTGAGGAAACCTGACCTCACCGTAGATACCATGTGTACCAAGCTGGCTCCTGCCTGTCCAAAACTCAGCCCCATGGGAGGGAGGTGGTGGGATGTGGCCAGGTGCCACCCTGCATCCTCAGGTATTACAAGGCTGACTGATGCCCATTTCTCTGAGCAGTCAGGAAAGGAACTTTCAAATTCCCTACATCCCTATGCGGTATCTATCCTGAAGAAAGCTCATCTTCATCCTCCACAACTGTGATCTACTATGAGGAGAGAAGTGAAGACTGCAGACAGTCTTCACTTGCCTCTCTCCAGCAGAACACAAGCCCTTAGGAGGTACAGGAGACAAAGTCGGAGTACATCACCTCCTCCCAGGCCTGCATTCCCCTCTGCAGCTGGTTGTCCTTTGGATATAAGGTGCAGGTCCTTATGTGAGGGTCAGAAGGCAGTGACGAAAAAGCCAGGGAGGCTATCACTTTGCAAGGTTTTGCTTTGTTTGACAGCGGGTATGGGTTGAGGGGGCACACAGGCCTGACCCCTGTGTTCCGTTTGACCATGTGAGGAGACCCACGGCAGTGCTGGTGGTCCTTGGGGACCAGCCAGAAGAGCTCAGCCGGAACCACTGGCTTCGAGGCTTTGTGTTCATTTCGCCTTCGGCCCCTTCTCAATAGGCTTCCCGATGTCCTTCCCCCGAAGCTTGAGGCCTGAAACGAGCCAGCAAGATGCTGACCACTCTGTAGCTTCCTGCATCCACCCAACCTCCCTGCTATATTGAGCTTTCCATCACTATTGTCCACTCACCTCCCAGGGCCTCCACACAGAGGGCTGCTTTCATATCTGACAAAAAGATTGAGGACCATGGTGGCTCACACCAGCAATCCCAGAACTCAGGGGACTGAGGTAGGGAGATTGATGTGAGCCTGAGCTACAGTAAGTCTATCTAGAAAATAAAATCTAAGCCAGACGTGGTAGTGCACGCCTTTAATCTCAACACATAGGAGACAGAGGCCAGCCTGTCTACATAGTTCCAGAACAGCCAGGAAAAAAAACATAATAAAAAATAATAATCTAAAAAAAATGAGAAGACAAACATCTTGATATCTTATCCCAGAAAAAGAGGAACACTGCATTGGGCCTCCACGGTGGCGCACTGTAAAAGCAAGCACGTGCCACATAGGCATCCTGAGAGCAGTGTGTTCTGGCTAATACCGTTTCCTTAGGTTTCTGGAGTCCCACCAGTCCTAACACCCTTAGGCAGGATTCCAGTGGTATGGTCTCAAGAGGACAGGGGTCTGTCATATCAGTCCTCACCACCCCTTATAAAAGGGTAACATTTTGCCCAAGACTGCTAGGGAACACACTCACCGATAGCTCGCTCAATTTTGCCCAAAACCTGGTTATTCGGAATGGCCCGTCCACTTTCATAGTCTGCGATGACTTGCGGCTTTTCATTGATTTTCTGAAGAAAAGATGTACCTTAGCCATCCTAGCTCAATAAGATGTGCTGCAGAAACCAGGAGAGGTGCCCACAGACAGCCACCTTTGGGGTCTTTAGTACCCCCACACAGACAGGTCTTATGCAAGAGAGCTACAGCTTCTCTGACCCAGCTTTCCCAGATAATTTGGAGAGTGCTAGGGAAAGGTCTCCGAGCTACCATGCAGTAACCCCACCTTCCCTAAACTGTCTTAAGTACATGTCACCTTCCCCATGCCACAGCCACCAAAGCCTCACCGTGGCCAGGTCCTTCTGTGTCAGGCCTTTGCTCTGCCGACCCCGCTGAATCACTTTGCCCACCTCCAGGGTCACCCTGTCGTGATGCAGTTCCTCTGTCTCCCGGTCTAGCTTGGCTGTGTTCTTGGTGATGGAATGCTGCTTGTTCTGGCCAGCAGCCCCTGGAGGCAATGTGAGCAGAACAGAGCAGAGACAGTTTGCAATCAGCACAAGAGAAAGGATTTCAAATGAAAACCAGACTAACAGGGTCCTGGGTCCAGCTGACCTGGACTTTACAGACCTCAGAGCCCTGAATCTGAACCTTCCCACAGTGGTGGGAAGTTAACAGTCTGTGCTGACCTCATGCCACCCAGAGCTGTGCCAACAGGTCAAGAATATTTCCTGACTGTCCAGTAGCCAGTCCCTGCTCCTGACAAGTCCCCAGGGCACTACCCAACCATACCATCAAGCAAGCCATTCCACAGCACATCCTTGCTTTGCAAGTGGAAACTTGAGTACCTACATTTCTTGGATGTCTCCACATCTTCTCCTCGTCTCTGAGCTGCTAAGATGGCCTAGAAAACCAGAAAGTGGTTTTCAATCAAAATGAGCTTTGGGGCAGTGTGGAGCACAATTAAGGCCAGCCACATGGTGCTAACTATTCTAAGAGTGATACACAATGCTAAGTAAAACAACCCAAACTCACTACAAGTGTCCCCTGCTTCTGTTCTAGTTTTTCTTTCCAAGTTTTTGGTTGACCCATGGCCAGAAACTTTACCTAGAAAATTCCAGATAATCACTAAGCAATGGTGGCACATGCCTTTAATCCCAGCATTTGGGAAACAAAGGCAGGCATATCTTTGTTGAATTCCAGGCCAGGACTACACAGAAAAATCCTTTCTCAAAAAAAAAAAAAAAAAAAAAAAATCCAGATAAATTCCTAATTTTAAATTTTTATATGTTCTGAAAAATGTGATATGAGCTCATAACATCTCTACTTTCTCACCTGAGACATAAACCATGCATCTGTCCAGTTGTGTCCATGCTCCATGCTGTGCATACTACCTGCCTCTTATTGATCTAGCTGACAATAAATATTGATCTGACAGATAACTGTCAAAACACAAAAACAGACTTTATATTCAAGAAATCATGATAGAGGAGCCTAATGCTCACTTTAGAACATCATTTAGATAAGGTATCATTTCACACCATCCCTAAAATAAGGGGGAATCCTGAGAAGCCACATTTTTATTACAGTGCACTTTTAAAACAGTTCTTTTCAACCATTCGTTATGACCGGCTTTTTTTTTAAAGATGTATTTACTTTTGTTTTACATGTATGAGTATTTACCTGCATATATGTCTATGCACTGCATGCATACAGTGCCCACAGAGGCCAGAAAATAGTTTTGGCTTCCCTAGAAATGGATTTATTGACAGGTGTGAATCACCATGTTGATGCTGGTACATGGACTTGAGTTCTCTGCAGAAGCAGCAAGCACTCTTAACCACAGAAACATCTCTCCAACTCTTACTACTATTTCTTACTTTGCCTAATTTATAAACTTGATCATGGGTATATATGAGTAGGAAAAAATACAGTACATACAGGATCCAGCACAACTCGGTTTCAGGCACCCACTGAGTAGCCTCAGAATGTGTCCCCAATGCTGGGCATGGTGGCACACACTCTTAATCCCAGGACTTGGGAGGCAGAGGCAGGTAGATCTCTCTTGAGTTCAAGGCCATCCCGGTGTACAAATCAAGTTCCAGGACAGCCAAAGCTACACACAGAGAAACCCTGTCTCAAAAAACAAACAAAGATTGTGTCCCCAAACAAATAGGTGTACAGTGTACACAATTATCCAGATAACATATGTTGAATTACTGCTAAAAGAACCAACTCACTTCTTCATTAAGAAAGACTTGAGCTGGGTGTGGTAGCACACCTGTAATCCTACTAGCACTCAGGGGGCTCAGATAGAAATCCAGGCCAGTGTCAGCTATGGGGCAAGACTTGCTTAGTAGTAAATATACAAGGCCCTGGATTCAGTATAAACAACACACAAAATAAAGGCTCACAGGTTCTTTTTCTTTATTGGAAATAGAGCTAGTTCTCTTCCAAACTGCTACAAAGCAGAAAGGAGTGGAATGCTGGCCTGGCTTCCTTGGCCAGCATGGCTCCTATTGAGAGATGACACACCCTACAGAACCCTGTAGTTTCCCTGGAAACAGGACCACTAATAGTGATGCTTGGGACACAGTCACTGAATATTAACATAATGCTTGTGAGCCATTCTCTGTGTAATATGTTCAGACTTTGTACACACCTATGATGACTCCAAGTTCACCTGAAAAGAAGAGGATCGTGGATCTGGCTTTGACTATGCAGTAAATAAGCCCAGGGCTGGTCAAAACCACTCAGGGCTCAGGGAAGCAGAGTACACCTAAGGAGAGGACACTAGGCCACAGGAGACCACCAATGCCTCAGACAGCACTCTTTATAGGCTGAGATCGCCTGGGTGGGCGTCATAAGCAGGAACCCACCAGTGGTGTCAGCACAGGCTGACACTAGATAAGGACACCTTCAGCAAGAAGACTGCTCCTACCTTGGTTCCCAAGTCTCTTGTGCCTAGTGCCCATGCTACCCACCCTACATTTAATGACCAGTCAG